CTTGCTCCAAGTACCAGAGCCCCTCCATCGTAGGCAACATTTTCAATGGGTATCGCTTACTCTGCTATGTGCAGCTCCCAGCGCTTTACCTGCATTTGCTTATTTCATCCTTGCAACAACTCCACGGGGTTGCAATTCTCATCATCATCCCCATTTTACAGACGAGGAAACTGAGGCACAGAATTAAGTCACTTGCTCTAGGAAGTGAGAGAGGCAGGATTTGAACACAGACACTCTGGTGTTGGCCGCCAACTGCGTTCACACATGGGCTCCTCCGCTTCTTGGCATCGGGTCCAGATTTCAGCCTCCATCTCCCAGCTCCCTGCCCACTGATCACAGCAGCTCCTGCTTCTCTGGCGCTGACCATCTTCCTGGTGCCACATCACTGTGATGACTATGATGCCATCATTCCTCGATTATCTGTGAGCAAACCTCTGCCCAGGGTCACTGACCCCAATAATGGGTGGCTGAGCCATGGTGCTTCAAGCCCTCGGCGACTCCGGAGGCTCCGAGGGCTGTGTGATACCGGCCCTGGGCTGGGGTGGGGAGGGGATACCGAGCGGTTTAAGGCCTGGTTTCTGCCTTATTTGTTCAAAGGTCCAAGTTCAGAGTTCAAAGTTCAGGGCTTCATACCACCTGGGCCCTGGACACCCCTGGGGAGCAGGCCTCCCGTGGGCAGCTGGCCCCAGTCCTCTTCCCCGAAAGACCTGGCAGAGAGTCACTGGTTCCCTCTGAGAGCGTGGGCACAGCCCAGTGCCCGGGCAAAAATGCCAGAGAGCGGGGGGCAGGGAGGCCACGGGGTGTTGGGGCGGGGATGGTGGGTAAAGTTTCCCCATCAGGGCTCAGAGAACAGGCCAGGGCCCTTTCTGTCCTGAGTGAGCGAGGGGGTGAGCTTGGGGCAATGGGGAAAAAGCTGCCTGTGTCTGCCTGGAAGTCATTACCCAGCTCAAAAATTAACCACCTGACACGGCATTCTCGTTCTCCCTCCTCCCCTCTTCGTGTGTTCCGCAGGCAGACTTTAATCCCTGCGGGAATGGATTGGCTAAGCCTGAGGCTGGGATTTCTTTGGCAGGGCTGGTGGCGGGGGATTATAAGCCTTCCTATAAGAAATGTCTGCATTGGGTTGGCGTGAATAGGGCTGCTTGTGGACCATTGGGACCTCCCATTCTTGCTCCCAGACAGGGCCAGGACTGGGATAAGCCAGGTGAGGCACTCAGGGAGCCAAGTTCAAGTTGGGCGCACTGTTGGGGTTGTGCACCAGCCTCACCCCAGTTCCCGGCCCTGCTGGCTGCTCCTGCCACCTGATAAAGCTCAGGGTGCAAGAGTCTTTCAAGGGAATAAGGGAAAACAAGTCCTTACCTCTGATTTGCTTTGTGATCTCCGGCAAGCCATTCTCCTCTGGGCAACCATTGTACTAAGGGTTAGATTAGACCAGGATTTCTCAACATCGGCACTATTGACATCGACGTTATTTTGAATGAGTGAGGCTGCCCTGGGCACTCGGGGAAGTTCCGTAGCCTTCCTGGGCTCTCCCCGCTAGATTTCCCCCTCTAATCATGACAACCAGAAATGTCCCCAAACATTTTTGTCCACAGGGAACAAAATCACTCCCTGTTGAGAATGATTAAATGATCTCAGCTTCATTCTGGCTGTCATATTTTAAGATTTTATTTTAAGATTTAAGAAGAGTATTTTCGAAGCCCAACTTTAAGAAAGTGAGCTTGAATTATTAATAATAAAGTAACATTAACATGATTATTCATAATTCATCCAACATGCCAATAGCTTATATTTATTAAGCATTTCCATGTGTCCATCACTGGGTCAGTGGTTCTCCTGTATTAAATCACTTCTCCAAGGTAGGTACCATTATCCTGTGCCTACAGCAAGTAGGGAAGCCGAGGCTGAGGGAATTAAGAAGCTGGCCCAGGGCCACACAGCCAAACTGTGGGAGGCTTAGCTGATTCCAAAGCCTATGCTATTTATACTGTACATGTTTATCGTAGAAAGGTTAGAAAATGCTGATAAAAGAAAGGAAATACAGTACTTCCGAGGACAAAACTACTAGGTGGGAGGCACTTCCGGTTTACGTTGGTGGAAACCATCCGCCTTTCTGAAGCAGTATGAAAACAGCCACCGAAAGTAACAAAGGGAGAAGAGGATGTCATCTTCGACGAGAAGGGCAGACTGCGTACCCACCCCCGGTGTGTGAAGAGGGGGTGACAGTGGCGGTGGGATCGGGACCAGATGGCAGGAGGAAACCAAGAGCCAGCCGTCCATGCCTCTGTAGCTGCCAGGCAGAATGTGAACTTCTCCAGAAGTGTTTTTCAGCTCTACGAGCTCTTCCTGGTCCTGGCAAAGCCTGGAGAATACGCAAGGGGAAGAGACAGTCACTGAGATGCACATGGCGATACCAAGTTCAGAAGAACTGGATGAGGGGGCTCAAAGGCCCTTGGCGAGAAGCAGGGTATTGGAAGGCGGGTGGCGGACAGCGGATGGACAGTGATCAGCTAAATTGTTGTAATTGTTCTAACTTTCTCTCAAAGAGACATAAAAGCTCAAAGAGACGCCAAAGAGCTGTGACATTCTTGAGCCTTCACACTTAGTCTCCACAGAGAGACGCATTTCAGAGCAGCGCTAATGACCAAGGAATCTGAGATGCCAGCAGGGCAGATGCTTCGACACCTGCCGGCCCAGCTCCCTCCCGGCCCCGCCCCTACACTTTCCTTAACCAAGAGCTGGCCTCAAAGAGTGGCCCCAATCCTGGGATGAAAAGTCAGCGTGGGACCCGCAAGGAGACAGTGTGAGAAATAAGGAAGGGGATGTCAAATAAAAAGTGGGGAATCAATACTGAATAGCTGTGTTATGGCATTGGAGAGACTACTGAACAGACATTCCTCCATGAAATATCAAAAAAATTAAAGAAATGATTTCAGTGGGATCCTCTGTACTGTAGACACCCCCCAGGTTATTGTGCCCGATTTGCAGATGAACCAATGCAGGCTCAGAAGGTTCAGTGACTTGCCACAAAGATTCAGTAGCAAAACCACCATGCTCAGCCTTCGCGGCCCTCAGGTCTGAACTCTCTAGAGTGCCTCTCTCCCACAGAACTTTCTGTGATGATGGAAATGCCCTATATTCTCTGTCCAGAATGGTAGGCGTGAGTCTCATGTGGCCACTGAACTCTTGAACTGTGGCTTGTGTGACTGAGAAACTGGAATTCTAAACTTCATATAACTGGAATGAATTTAAACTTAAAGTAACTCCATGTGGCCTGAAGCTACTGCATTTGGACAGCTCAGCTCTAGGAATTTCTTTCGCACTCTTTTCCCTTCCATTTCAGCCATCACTGAACCTCACCCACATCAAGCTCTCCCCAAATCTGGCATCTCAGGTCAGCCTTTAAAGTTAGGACGAGGCTCAGTCAGTTGAAGCGTTGTCGCGTAAACAAAATGGGGACATGCCCGCGTTGTGGGTTTGGTCCCTGGTCAGGGCGCGTATGAGAGGCAACTGATCGATGTTTCTCTCTCATATTGATGTTTCTCTTCCTCTCTCTCTTCATCCCTTCCCCTCTCTCTAAGATCAATAAGCATGTTCTCAGGTGAGGATAAAAATCAGATTAAAATAAAATATAAAATAAAATTAGGACCAGGTTTCTTGCTTTTCTGGTGCCTGTCTTCTCGGGTTCAGTCTCCCTCAGGCTCCTGCGGCCTGTGGAGGTTTCCACTGAGTCACACCAGCGTCTCATGGCCGAGGGGACAGCCTGGGGACTTGGGAGATGCTTCACCTGGAGCCAGGACTCCACCGACTCTGGGCCACCTTCTTGAAGCCAAACCACTGGACAGAACAAAGTGGCCAGGAGGCAAAGTGCTGACTCAGGCGACCCAGAAAGTGGGCCTGTCAGATCAGGCAGCTCCTCCAACCTTTGAACTCCAAAAGTTAAAATTCAAAGGAAAAGGGTCTGGAGACCTCAGCACTCTGCCTTCTGCCCTCGCCTGCTCTCTGTCTCTATGAGTTTGACTACTCTGGGCACCTCATGTGAGCGGAAGTGTGCGATCTTCACCTTTTTGTGACTGGCTTACTTCACTGAGCATGCTGTTGTCAAGGTTCATCCGTGTTGTATCTTGTGTCACAATTTCCCTCCTCTTTAAGGCTGAATAATATTCCATGGTGTGTGTATCCCATTGTTTTTATTCCTCTGTCAATGGACACTGGGTTGCTTCCCCATTTTAGCTTTTGTGTATAGTGCTGCTATGGCCGTGGGTGTACAAGCCCTCTTTGAGCTCGAGCTTTCAATTCTTTGGGGTAGATGGTAATTCTATTTAATTTTCTGAGGAGCCACCATACTGTTTTCCATAGTGGTTATACCATTTTTATTCCCACCCAACAGACACAGTAAAGGACTCATCATCATTATTACTATTTACAGAGTGTGCACTAAACGCCGGGTGCCGTGCTGCATGCTGGGCCTAGATATGGCAGTTGCTATTGGAGCTCCCTCCCCATCCCCTCTGGCACTCACGGTTCTGCGCATGCTCCTGGGAGCAGCCCACAACCAGCGAAGGCCAGGGAATTGGCAGATAAATAGCCCAGCGTCTGAGGCATAATCTACATTATCTCCCAGGGTCCCCATCAGGATTGAGCCCAGTGGCCGACAGTTTCACTGCCCCCTTGCCCTTCTAGAACTTTCTGAGATCACCTATTAAGTAAAGCGTTTTCATTCTCATGCTCGTCTCAGGGTCTGCTTCTAAGGCGATGGGGTATTTCATATCATCCTCAAATCATCCTAGACACTGGACGGACACAATTTCCCTATTTTATAGTTGAGCAACGTGAGGCTTAGGCAGGTGGTGCCCCTTGCCTGAGGTCAAAGCCTTGGGCACGGAGCCTCTTCACGGCCTCCCCAAGGACTGGGGCTCGATGCGTCCGGCTCTGGGACCTCTGCCCCCTCTGCCACCCTGCACCTTGCTGGCCCCTGAGCCCGTGTCTCCCTCCTGCAGGAAGGCCGCTGCCTGTTTGTCATCCTGCTCATGGCCATGTACTGGTGCACGGAGGCCCTGCCCCTCTCAGTGACCGCCCTGCTGCCCATCACCCTCTTCCCCATCTTGGGCGTCCTGCCGTCCAGCGTAGTCTGCCCCCAGTACTTTCTGGACACCAACTTCCTCTTCCTCAGCGGTCTGATCATGGCCAGCGCCATTGAGGAGTGGAATCTGCACCGGAGAATCGCCCTCAAGATCCTGATGTTCGTTGGAGTCCAGCCAGCCTGGTAAGGCCAGGTAACAGGTCCAGCCCGAAGGTGGGGAGGCAGAGGGATCTCGTCTCTTGGAGCCCGAAGTCGCTCTTGCTTGGTACGCAGGCCAACGAACGCACCATGTCCTGCCTGCCACGTACTTAATTATTCCTCACATGTTTAATGAGCCCCCTCTGTGTGCCAGACACAGCGCTAGGAGGCTCTTGGGGGTGGGGATTCTCAAAAGTGCCTAAGAATCGCTGGGACGGTGGTTGAACCGCTGATTCTCCGCCCCCACCCTCAGGAATTTGCGTCCAATAGTCTTAGAAGGGGCCATTTAGCAGCATGACTGCTTGGGACTGAATTCCACCTTCCCTGCTCTAGGAAATGACTTACCCTTTCTGTCTGTGAAATGGCGCTGTAATAGCCTAGAGCTGCACAGCAAATGCTGGCTGTTATTGTCCTGGTTTGCCGTTTCCTAGCCAAGCGGCAGGGTGGGTGGGGCGTGGGTAGAGAGGGCCTTAGAGAGATGGGAGGAGGGTCCGTCCCTGCGGGGCCTCAGGCCCCGTCTAGGATTTGAACTTTTATTCTCAGAGGATTGAATGCCTGTAAAATAGGGTCACTGTTGTACTTTCCATCTTTTATCTTTCTTTTTTTTTTTTCAATTTGGTGAATCTTAAGGATTCCTTCCTGGAATAATGTTTTTTTAAAAAAAAATGTTTCCCCATTTTATTGATTACAAAAGGGAGGGGAAGGAGGGAGAAAGAGAAGGAGAAAAGCAACAGTAGGGGAGAGAAACATCACTAGGTTGCTTCTTGCATGCAAGAGGTTGCCTACAACCCAGGCATGTGCCCTGATAGGGAATTGAACCCACGACCTTTCAGTTTGCTGGATGATGCCCAACCAACTGAACCACACTGGCCAGCGCCTGGAATAATGTTTTTAAATCATAAAGCACAGCATGTGGGCTTTTAAACAACAATAACCACAACAATTACAGCAAAATGCAGTCATCCAGATAATTTTTCAAAACACACAAATCCATGATGTAGTACCATATATGCCCTTTTCCAGTAAACGATAAGATCTATCAACTGGCATAACAGTGACTGTAGTTTTGAGATGGTTTTGAGTGTCGGTGATATTCCAAGATGTCTGCACCTATGATACAGCAATGTGATACGAAAATATCTGTGACCTTACAATAATTGGTGTCACACCTGCCATAGGAGCCCACATAAGGGCCGGGGGTGACCTCATGGAGGCGCTTACGTTTGACCTTGGAGAATGGATGGGGCTGCTGGCAAACATATCTTAAAGTTCCACAATGAAAACATGATGATGCTAGTTCAGAAATAGATTTAAAAAACAGTGAATAAATAAACTAGAAGAAATCTGAATCAGTGGGGAAGGGGAGGATTTTTCAATACCTGATGGGGGTTGAAATGATTAGCAGAGCCTTTGAAGAAAGATCTACTTTGAGCTGACTTCATACTACGAATCTAAATAAATGCCAAGGGGATGAAAAATTGAACGTAAAGAAAAAAGATGATGAAACGTAAATTCCTGGCGGTGGGAGGGATCGAGCAAAGCAAGGGAGGCAGGGGATGAGGGCCTGTGCGGTGTGGTGACGGCGCAGCGGAGCCTGGGCCGGGGCTCCTGGTACGAGTGGGAGGGGGCGGGGAGGAAGGGGGCACAGTGGAGGGTCTTCGTGCCAAGTCAAGGCAACCACGCTCTGCACTGGGGGCCACCTGTAAAGTGAGCGGGCTGGGTGTCTCAGGGGTGACCAACTCGGACCAGAGGACCTCCGGGGCCCCGGTCCCAGATCTGCCTCTAAGCCGTCCATTCCCAGGCTCATCCTCGGAATGATGATGACCACCTCCTTCATGTCCATGTGGCTGAGCAACACTGCCTCCACCACCATGATGCTGCCCATCGGCAGCGCCATCCTGAAGAATCTCTTTGGCCAGAAGCAGACTCGGGAGGACCTCAGCTGGGAGAGTGAAGAGAACGCAGGTGAGGCTGTGGAAAGGGGCTGGGGACCGACGCCTGCCAGGTACGGGGTGGGGTGGCTGGGTGTCCGATGGCTGTCATGGGAGGCAAAGGGAACATGCTTGCGGAGCACCTATTATGTGCCAAGGAATTTAATTATAATAATAACTGGAAATTATCTAAGGCAAACCATGGTACTTTTTTAAAAATTGCATTTAGTGAGCATTTACTATGTATTAAGCAAAGAGTTAAACACTTTCCGTACATTATCTCTGTCTCTCAAAACAGTCTTATGTAGTAGGTGCTATCATTAAACCTTGTTTTAAAGCTTTTGAAGAGATGCTCAAAATCACTAATGCCCAGAGAAATGCACATTGAAACAACAAGAAGATTGACTTCAATGAGGTTGGCAAAAAATGAGGAGGCTGGATAATGGCAAGTGTTGGCAGGGAAGGGGCCATTGGAACTCCACACTCCGCTGGAGAGAGGGGACCTGGGCCTGCCTTAAGGGAGTTCTGCAAATATTTAATCAGATTAAATGCGCGTATACCCCATAACTCAGCAGTTTTGCTTCTCAATGCAAGGGCTAAAGGGATTCTGGCGCAGGACCGTGAGGGGACACGTGTGAGGATGTCCCCTGCAGCGCTCTCTGCGGCGGTGAGTTGGTAGCCACATGGTTGTGATCACTAGTGAAGGGGAAGGTGAGGCGTGGTGGGTGCACACCATTGAGCACTATGCAGCTCTTAGGAGCAAGTACAGTTATATAAGTGAATGTCATAAAACAGCATTGTGATTTTTAAAAAGCCAGAAGGAGATCTAGAATATATTTCCATTATGTAAATGCCATTATGTAAATTAAAATACACACAAATGACAAAACATATTGCAAGAACATAAACAAATGAAGAGCTACATAGCATGGACACATCAGAGCGGTTGCGCTGGGAAAGATGGGAATGAGAAATGGAGACAAATGGGTCCAAATGCAACAAAAGAGGGCCCTCGTGCAGCAAATAGCGAGCGTGTGCCATGAACCGAAAGATCGGATTCACTCAAACCTCTGAGACTGCATTCTAAATAAAACAAAACACAAGTAGCGCACATGTTTTTAGATGGTTAAATGAAGGCCCAGAGAGGGAAAGTGACTTCCTCAAGCCACACAGCAGGCGCATGACTGAGCCCGACTTTGCACCCTGGCAGTCTGGCTCCAGAAGCCACCCTCTTACCCATGAAACCAGCTGCACTCAGCGAGAATTCTTTTGGCTGCAGGTGAAAGAATACCTGTCTGCAAGTGGCTTAAAGAATTTATTTTCCTCAAATATCAAGAAGTCAGAGAAAGGCAGTTCCAGGGTCTATTCAGAGGCACAAAGACCTCAGGATGGTTCATTGAAGTCTCTGTGATCCCCTTGGACGTTCCAGCATGGTCGTGAAACGGCTGCCGCATCCTGTCTGCTTTAAGACATCTTTCTTTCTATTTACATAAATATCTTTTAGCAAGAAGCTTGTGCACTGGTACATATGTGAGCAGAGATTGCAAATTTATACCCAGTATTTATTCTTCCTTTGTTCTTTTAATAATAGAACCCCCACCTGGGGCATATGGCTGCGCAGGTAAAAGGCTGAATTTCCCAGCCTCCCTTGCAATTAGATGTGGTCGTGTGACCAAGTTTAGCCGATGGGAACGAATGTGATGGCGGGGGTGAGAGATGCTCTGGGAACCCGAGGATAGAAGCCACAAGTTGAGAGAGGGATGGCAAGTTCACCCCAGTATCCCTGGATCATTTGCCCCCACTGACACACAAGCATTATCTATGAGACCATGAGTTTTGTGTGCTAGTTAATGTCTTTTTCAAATGTGCATTATAGTAAATATATATCTGTTGAGAATATAAATATTGATCCATGTCCCAACTACATTAATCTCATGTACTGTGGTAAGGATATTTCCCCATCATGCAATGAGGGGCCTTGCTTATTTTATTTCCACAGCAGCCCTGAAACCTAGAAATGACTCTAAGTACTTAATTGATAAGGTTCGGGAAGGTGAAGTGATACTTCCAGCATCAATCACATTGCGGGTAAAGTAGCAGAGCCAGGATCTACGTGAGGTCAAAAGCTTCCACGTGGAAGGGAAGAGATGCTGTAGGGCAGGAATGGACAAAGATTTTCTGCTAATGATCAGATAGTTATTTTAGGCTTTGCTGACCCCTCCATCACAACCAATCAGCTCTGCCCCTGTAGACAATACATAAATGAATGTCTGTGGCTGTGTTGCAATAAAACTTTATTTATGGGTGCCGAAATTAAAATTATATACCATCTTTACATTATGAAATATTATTCTTCTACTGGTTTTTGCCAGCCATTTTAAAATATTAGAATCATTCTTAGCTGGCAGGCTCCAGGGCCATAGCCTGTGGATCCGTACTTGGTAGTAACTGCTTTGTTGGTTCTCATACTGTTTCCCCTCAGCCTTACAGCTCCAGAAGAACTGCCTGGTAAACAGTGAAGACTTCACTCCTCCTTGCATTTCTACTCCAGCTGCCCCTACTTTATCTGTTCTATACACTGAGCTTCCAAGAAACAATCACAGATGTTTACTGAGCACTTATTTTATGCAAAGACTTCTTAAGGTCTTACACACAAAGGAGGTGGATCTACTATTGACCCCATTCAGAGGAATGGAAATTGAGTCTCGTCTCTCTCTCCCTTGTTCTCCTCTCTCTCTAAAATCAATTAGAGAGGATAAAGCAGCCCCAAGGTTTGAATCCACACAGGCTGACTTCAGAGCCTGTGCTCCTAACCTCTGTTATTCCACCTCCAACACAAGATTTGTTTTTCAGAGTCTAGTGGTCAAAAAAAAAAAAAAAAAAAAAAAAAAAGTTTGACAGCCACATCCCTTATTATAAAGAAAAAAAATCTGAGACCCAGGAAGGGTTGCCCAAGGTCATACATGATGCTGGGCACAATGCGAAGTTCATCCTTCTCTCTTACGATTCAGGATGTTGGGAGGCAGGAGACCCTGGGAGGTGGTTGGGGCAGACACCTGCTTTTGTGGGCAGCGCAACCAGAAGCCAAGATTGTTTAATGATCAGCCCTAAGACCTAAAGCAAAGCTAACTCCGGTGCAGAGAGAGATGCCCCCTTTCACCCAGTTTCTGTGCTCTGTGAGGTGAGGACAGGACAGGGCTGGGAGGAGTGGAGGCTCTGTTAGCAGGGCAGGGCAGGGCAGGGCAGGGGCAACGAGGCACCGGGGCTTTAAGTTTGCGATGGCCGCAGCAACAGCAACAATGATAATGTGTGTTTTCATTTTCTAAAGACACTGTGCTCAATTTTTCTCACCCATTAGCTTGTTTAAGTCTTCCTAACAGTCCTATAAGGCAGACAATCCCCATTTTACACATGAGGAGTCTGAGGTTCAGAGGCCAAATCGTTTGCCCAGAGTAACGCGGTGCATTAGTTGCTGAGCTCTGTCCGAATCCGGAACCTGTGCTTCTGAGCACCATGCCGGAGGGAGACAGAGCCTGGGGCAGGGTGGGGCTCACTGGACAAGCCCCCAGAGGTCCTCAGCCTTGGAGGGCAGTTCCTTTACCCAGCTCTGCTCCTCGCACTGCTTCAGGGACCAAGGGGCCATGGAGGGTGGTAGCTTTCAGCGTCCTTCTACCTGCATGTTCTCATTCATTCCTCCATTACAGACCTGCCCGGGTGGCCCTCTCCTTGTGCCCATTTGATAGAGGAGGAAACTGCCGCTCAGAGTGATAATGCCTTTGCCCAATGTCCCTCAGCCAGTGAGGGTCCCAACCTGGCTTTTGAGTCTAAACTCAGCCACTCTTTCCCCTGCATTTCTCTGCCCAAAGAAAGCTATCTTGCCACCCGCGTCTTTCCTTTAGGAATATCCAAGGGGCTAGCACTCAGAAAGCCATTTCTGAGGCTGGCTTAAGCATTGCCCTCCTCCTTTGCTCTTCATTCATGCGGCCAGGAGTGGGACTCTTTTCTCAGCTATAAAATAAGGACAATACCTCCCATTTCATATGTATTGTTGTGAAGCTTACGTGAGAAATGAGAACCAGGAACATAGGAAGGGGTTAGTTACTATGTGGTAACTGTATAAAACCATGATCAGGCTTCCAGGAATTGGGAGGAGCTGGTAATAAACCCCACACCATGGTGCACAGCTGGTTTCCTATGCCTCCTGGTTGAGAGGGACTTAGTTCTCTACCCCCTTAGTAGACCCCAAGCTGCATAAGGGTTTGTGTCGATCTCTTCCACTGCTGTGGTCTTGTCCCCCTAGAACACCGTTTGGCACATAGTAGGTATTCAATTAATGTGTTGAATTAAGGATTGAATAGGCCAGGAATTTCACTGTCGCAAGCCTCGGTTTCCTCATGGCTAAAGTGGGGCTACGTTTGCTTACCATCCAGGCTTTGTGAGTGCTAAATAACTGAATGGATGTAAACCTGCCTGACCGAGGCTCTTTGACTTTCCCTGGGGTTCTCTTCACCTAATTTTATCCAAGAACTCTTTCCTGCAGGGCTTCTGTGTGCCCAACGTCAAGGTTAGACTAGGGTTCCCAGTTCCAGGTCAGGCCCACCAAGGGCCGGGGGGGCGGACACCTTTGGAGAGGGAGTAAGATTCAAGGGGGGCAGAATCAATAGCCCTGGAATGAGCCCGACTGTGCCACTCACCCTTTGGGTCACCTTGACCCCAACCTTAACTCACTTCTCTAGGCCTCAGTTTCCCCAGGTGTAAAGAGGACGGTAATAATGCCTGCCCAGCTCTCCCAGGTTGTTCCGAGGCTGTTCTAAGGTTACGGGTGGGGAAGCTATCAATCCCTGACCCAGTACAAACTCAAGTATTGGTATTGTTTGAATAAGACCTTACGTAAACCCCAGCCTCCTAACCAGCCTTGTGTACAGCACGTATCTCATATACAGTCTTATACTGGGGCTCCCAGCTCAGATGCTGGCAGCAACCAGGGTGCATGGATGAGTGACAGGGCCGGGGGAAACTGAGGCCCGCTGGTGAACGCATGCTCCCTCTGAGGGCATGGGCAGCCGTGGAGGCCTCGGTTTCCTGACCTGTAACTTCAGGGGAGTCGTGCTCAGCCGAGGCTTTCCAAAAGAACCCCCTGCGGGGCTTTACACCGATACCGAGGCCCCGGCCGCCCTACAGCAGAACCTCCAGGGTGGGACCTGGGTAGGAAATGCTCCCGTTTACCCAGGGCTGTGGAGGGAAGGGTGCAGAGTGAACCAGTGGTGGGTGGGGGCTGAGGAGGGGTCACTGGGTCAGAGTTCTTCCTGTCTGGCCATCCCCTGGGGAGCGACCTTTGCCTCCAGCATCAGTGTCCTATTAACACCTCCTGCTTCAGTGCCCTGGCCTCCGGGGCCGTGTGCATTGCACGTGGACATGTGTTCCGATCACTGGAATCCCTAGGCCCCTGTCCCTTTGGCCCCTCGGGTGAACTGACCTGCATTTAGCCTTCAGCCCCTAGCTGCTGGTCAGCAGGGCCAGGCTCAGACGCAGTAAACAGCACAGTCAGCCCGCAAGCACTCCTACGCCCTCGCAGTACAAACAGGAACGGAGCAGCCCAGAGGAGAGAGCAGAAGGCACTGACTCCCCCAGGTCCCTGGGGGAGACAGGGAAAGAACGGAGGCTGGCGCCTAGACCCTCATTCCCAGTCCCCACGGCCGAGGACCCCAGAAACGCATGTGCGATTGAACAGGCAGAGTTTATTTCCATTGCTGCAGGGCGGGAGAGCGCACACCTGGGGCGAGCTCAGTCGTCTCAGCAAGAGGGAGTGAGAAAGGACCTTTCACAGGGCTCAGGCTCTTGTCGGGCCATGTGGAAGGGGGTTAAGGAAGGAGGATTTGCTCTAGATTGGGGGCTGTCAGAAGTCGGGGGCACCTCAAGGATTGGGTAAGGAAGTAGTGGCCTTTCATTCCGCGAGAACATGGGTGCTTGGTGTTTTGTGGACGGCAAGTGGCTTTGTGCTTAGACAACTTTAGTGTCCTTGCTTTGGCTCATTTTATCAGCCTCAGAGTGACTTTGTCTGAGGTCAGTGATGTGTAAGGTTATTTAGGTCCAACAAGAGAACAACATAGCGTATCTGGGTCAGACTGCTTCTAGACGTCAGGGGCGACTTTGATATTCTCTCTCAAAAGTGACCCACATTAACTAAATCCTTGCTAGTGCTCAGATTCCTGTGACATTCTTTAAATCGCAGCCTGGCAAACTTCGGCCTACCCAATCTAGCGCACCACCTGTTTTGGGGGGGAGTTAAGGATAGTTTATATATTTTTAAATGGTTGAAATAAATCAAAAGAAAAATATTCTGTGACATGTGGAAATTATCTGAAATTCAAACTTCAGTGCCCCAAAATAAAGGTTTAGCCACACTTGTATGTATATGTGTTGTCTTTAGCTGCTTTCATGATATAATGGCAGAGCTGAATAGTTAACCTCAGGGGCCGTATATGGTCCTCCAAACCTAAAATGTTTACCATCTGGCCTTTTACGGAAGAAAGGCCCCCACTTTAGACGGTATCTTAGGCTGTTTAAGTTGCTGTAACAAAAATCCTACAGACTGGGTATTTATTTCTCACAGTTCTAGGGGTTGGAAATCCAAGGTCAAGGGCCAGCAGAATTGGTACCTATGAGATCCTACTTCCTGGTTCATAGAGAGCCATCTTCCTGCTGTGTCTTCACATGGCTGAAGGGGCAAGAGGGCTCTGTGGGGTCTCCTTTTATAAGGACACTAACCCTATCCATGAGGGCTTCACCCTTACGGCCTAATTGCCTTCCAAAGCCCCACTTCCTAATACTAACACATTAAGGATTAGGTTTCAACATATGCATTTTGGGGAAGATGCAGACATTCAACCTATAGCAAATGGACCAACTCCTTAACCCTTTGACAACCTTAGGAAAATTATTACTTTCATTTTATGAATTAAAGAAGTGAGGTTAAGAGATTTATCTAAACCAGGGTCTCTCAACCCCAGCACTATTGACATCTTGGGTGGGATAATTTTTTTTCTGGGGGGGGCTGTCTTGTGCATTTTAGGATATTTAGCAGCATCCCTGGCCTCTTCCTGCTAGATGCCAGTAGCATACTCTGCATCCCAGTTGTGACAGCCAAAAATGTATCCTAACATTGCCCAGTGTCTGAAAACTGGCCCTGACTGGGAACCACGGGTCTGAGGTCACATAGTAAATGATGGAGTTATGATTTGAACCCAGAACCCGTGTGTTCAGCTACCAGTCTCACACCCAATACCGAGGGATGGCCTTTTTTACCCTTGGTGATGATTTTAGTGCAGGAACTTTTAATTCCTTCAATTTGTCTTGTCTTCAAAACACTATCGAAGTCTCCTAGAGAGGCTGACCTATCAAACAAGGGATACTTTAAAAATAAAGTCAGATCCTGTCCTGACCCCTCTACTCAAACACTCCCCTGCTTTTGCTCCCATCTGACTCAGAGGAGAAGCCAAAGTTTTTACTGTAATCCCCAAGCCCCCTGCATGATCCAACCCACTTTCTGCCCCCCCCCCACCCCTTGCCACTTCTCTCACTGGTGTCCCTTCTGCTTCTGTACCATCACCCTCTCACCTCAGGGCCTTTGCACATGCCCTTCATTTCCTCAGAAGTTTGCATGGCTCACCCCCTCACCTTCTTCAGGTCTCTGTTCGATGTTACCCTCTCAGTCAGACTTTTTTTGACTATCCTTTAAAAAAGGTGTCCCATCTCAGAAAAGTGTCTCTTTCATGCTTTGTTTTTCTCTGATACTCATTACCATCTGGCATGCTGTATATTATGTGTTTATAGTCTGTCTGCCTGACCAGAAGGTAAGTTCCACAAGGACTTGAATTTTCATGTCTTGTCACTCAGTGATATTATTGATGGAGTGATCAGCTAGGGTTCACATGACTAAGTTCTTTTTAAAAAAGTTTTTTTTATTGTTTATTCTATTACCATTGTCCCAACTTTTTCCCCCCTTTGTTCTCCTCCACCCAGTCCACACCTCTGTCTTACAGTCAATCCCTTCTTTGTTGTCCATGTCCATGCATCATTCATATATGTTCTCTGACTAGTGCCTTCCCCTTCCTTCTACCATTCCCTCCCCCCCACCTCCCCTCCTATAGCTATCAGTCTGTTCCAAGTTTCCATCGCATGACTGCATTCTGGTCCTGGGCCCCTAGTTGCACCAAGCTCTTGTCTAAGAAGAACTGAAACACATTCACAACTTATTTGCTCCCAGCATCTCTATGGCCACTAGCCTAAGGCAGCCATCAGCATTTTATCTGGAAAATGCAACAGATTCAGGACTGGTTTTCAAACTTTCGTTTTTCCCCTCCTACAGTCCATTCTCCCTACCAGACCCAGAAATGTTTGCAAAATGTCAATCACATGACATCCATCTTGGACTCTAATTCCTTCAAGGGTTCGCCATTCTTGAATGGACTTCTGACTTCTATTCACCTCTGCCTACCCTACTCCCACTCCCTGTCTCCCCTAGGCCTTCCCTACTCACTAGCCTCCCAGTAGACTGGCCTTCTCCTTGTTCCTTAATTCTGCTAAGCGTCTTACCCCCAGGGCTTTGCACTTGCTGTTCAGTGTTGCCTGGAACTTTCTTCTCCAGGCTGTTCATGTGACTGGCTCTTTTTTATCCTTGAGGTCTCAGGTCAAATGCCATCAGGGCATGTTGCCTTTCTGTTGACCTGATGGCAGTAGGCCACCTGCTTACCCCACCCCCAACTCTGCAATTACTTTCCATCACATGGCCCAGATTTACGTCTTCCATCACTTTCATCACTACCTGAATTTTTCTTTCTGTGTTTATTGTCTGTCTCCCTTTCTAGAACATAAACTTTGTGGCAACAGGGACCTTGTTGTATACTCTTCACTGTGTGCCCCAAGCTCATAGTCAATAACACATAGTAGGTGCTCAATAAATACTTTTCGACTGAATGAATGGGAGATTGGGGTCACCCATCCCACTGATGATCCATTACCACCCATAATAGTCCTTCCCAAACACCCCTTTGGCAGTGGCTGCTCAGGTAAGCCTAGGCTTGAGTTATGGGCTGTCAGGCAGTCTAGCAGCTAATTCCCTGCCCACAGCTCTGGGGTCATCTGCAAACAGAGATGGATGGGATAGGAAGATGGAATGTTGAGTAATGTATTTTATTTATCTACTTAATTGAATGAATAGTATGGGACCCTTGGCAGAGAGTGGAGCCTGAAGAAGCCCTCTTGGCTGCCCACAAAAGAATGGGCCCGCTCCTGCCCCATTCACATGACACTAAAGACATTATGCTTTCTTCTAGCTCCTGCGCAGACCAAAGACCTGCGTACTGTGCCCACGGAGATGCAGTTTCTTGCCAGCACAGACGAGTGAGTTCCTGGTGAAAAATCATAGAGGAGCCAGTGCTTGGTCCAAGGAGATGAGGAACAAGAGCTCCATGCTGCAAGCAACCTCCCTCCCACCTCTGAAATTTTCTCCAGATGACCTAATTGCCCACGTTTCCAACCTGTGGCTGAGGCATAGATCTCCACAGACCCCTTAAAAATGCCAAATGTGGCCGGGGAAGGGGGGTACATTACATCCCTAGAGCCCTAGTAAGGGGAGGGCCTCCAGGTGGGCCCAGAAGAGCAGGAGAGCACAAGCCATGTGCTGGTCAAGGAGGAGAAGGGTGCAGATCAGGTAGAGAGGCTCTAAAGGAAAAATCACTCTACGAGGCAATAATAATTCTTCATACTGACATGAGTCAGGAAGCACCTTCACATCCATGGCATGTTCAGTCTTTGGTGTCCTTTGTATATGACAACGTGGTTAAGATCTTGGGGTTTGGAGCCACACAGATCTGACTTTGAACCCTGGCTCTGCCACTTACCTGCTATGTCATTTAGACAAGCCACTCAACCATTCTGAGCCTCAATTAGGTTCACCTACCAAATGGACATGATATTGGAACCCACCTTATAGGGTTGTTTTGAGATTAAGTGGAATAATGTCAACAAGGCAGGTTGCTAGGTCTTACGTGCATGATGGTAGCGCTTGTTATTAAAGGCCTTATTATCTTGATTTAATGGGGAGGAAACAGTGGGAAGTAAAGTGGCTTGCTCTCAGCATCGCTGGGCATTGATCAGGTCTATTTCATTCATTCAACAATATTTACTGGGAGCTTAGGATGAGCCTGGCACTACCAGGGACGCAGCCACAAAGGGACAAAAAATTTCAGACCTGTGGAACTTAGGTCCCAGTGACAAGGAACAAATACATGAGTCAAATCTATAATACGTCAGATGGTTGTGAGTGTTACTCAGGAGAACAAAGCAGAAAAGAGGGCCAGGCAGGGGGCCTGGAGGTGACCAAGGGCAGCTTTAACATGGGTGATCAGGGAAGGTCCCTCTAAGAAGGGCATGCTGGAGCAGGCACCCTCCCCTACAGTGGGGGGGGCCTGATCTTACATCTGGTTGTCTTATCCAATGGCCTGTGCTCCTTCCCAGCAGCACTGGGGAGCTTCAAGTCCAGCTTTGAGTTATGGGTTCTGTGATGGCCCAGCCACTCACTACCATGCAACCTGGGAACCAGTTTTAACCATCCGCCTATACAGAGCTTGTGCTGAGTTTATTGGAAAGATCTGATGCCACTCTCTGGAACTCCTTGTCTACTAGAGGGAAACCCCATCCATTGGAGGGAGACTCAGTGCCCATTGGATGCAAACCTCTGGGCCTTGGTTTCCCCATCTGAACAAAGAAGGGTTTGCACTAGATGAGTCCCAGGGCCTTATCTGCTCTCGTCCTCACTGTGAGGCTCAGTCTGGTTGGTTCCCAGGTCTGAGGGAGGCCGCGCTTACTGAACAGGCCGCTCACCCTGAGCAGTCAGGCCATGCCGCACAAAGGTCTCCAGCTGCTTCCTCGTGTTCCTTTGAGATCCCAGGTCATGTCCCCATCGCCCCCTGGAGAAGGGGCCCCTCATGTAGCAAGTAAGGCCAGAATGTATTGAAGGATCTTTTATTCTTTAAACATTTTTGCTTTGTTGCGCAGGAGCGATTCTTAATCTCATTCACTTATAAACATTTTATGGTTGCATGAGTTGAGAAAATACTCTTAAACAAAAACATATATACGCAGCATTAAAACAGTTAAGTGAATACCATTCTAGATTATTTCTTGCTACCTCTCTGTAGACAGAAATACATTTTCTTAAATAAAAATATTGATAACGCTATATATGTTATTATCTCACTTAATGGAGTGTATGGAACATCTTTCCACCTCAATAAATTCATGTCAACATCATTATCTTTTAATTATATAATTAACAAGTCTTAATTTCATGCTTTCCCGAAACTCTTTGTGCGAGGACAGCAACCCAGAAAATACAAATAGAGAAAAAAAATCCATAGCTCAACCCCTGAGAAAGGCACCAAAACAACTTCGCTTATTACTATTTTAGACTTTTCTTAACACTCAAATATTCATGAAATATGTGAATATTTTTAAATAAAAATATAGTGCTATTACCCGTCTTTTGACTTTATATAGTGAACATCTTTCATGTTAACAAACTCATCATTGGCGTTCCATCCGGAAAGAGCACCAACCTTATTTAGCCAAGCCTTTTTTGATGGAGATTTATGTTATTTTCAGTTTAACTTATAGTATTTAATGCCACACGAACTCTTGTACCCACACCTGAGGCATTTACCCAATTATTCCTTTACGATGAATTCTTAGAGTAGAACACCTGAGCTGAAAGGCTGCACATTTTAGAGGTTGTGAAGGCCCATGCCAAATTACCTTTTCAAAAGACCATCAGCTGCCCCCTACCCAAGCTATGTGTGGGCTGTTGCCCCATGAGGTAAGGCACGCTGAGTGTGTTCTGAACGGCTTCTCTTCGGGTTTGTTTAAAGCAAAGGCTGCCGCGAGGAGGCAGAGGCTCCGTTGGATCTTCCAGCCGACTCCACGAAGGAGGAGGAACATCGCAGAAATATCTGGAAGGGCCTCCTCATCTCCATTCCCTACTCAGCCAGCATCGGGGGCACTGCCACCCTCACAGGCACACCCCCCAACCTCATCCTGCTCGGTGGGCTCAAGAGGTAAAAGCAAGGGTCCCCTACCCGGCCCTGGAGTTTCCTTCTCCTCCCCACCCCCTTCATTTAACATCCACAGAAGGTGTGTCTTGAGTACCTTCTATTGGCCAGGCTCTTGGGACTCCACAAGGCACAAACCCCAGCAAAGTCTCTGCTCTAAGGTACTTCTATTTTGGTGGGGAGATAAGCAATAAAAGAAAAGGCAAATGAATATGGGATATGCTGGTGTGGTGTGGTGTGGTGGGACTTATCCAGAGATAAGCTGTGAAATAAAACAAAGCAGGATATGGGGGTAGATGAACAGGAGTGGGTGGTACTTTATATTGGTGGGTCATGGATGTACGACCTTTCTAATAAGGTTTCACTTGAGCAGAAATGGGCGGGGGGGCAAACTACATGGACACAGGAGGGAAGAGCCTACGCAAAGGTGAATGGCAAAAAGACGAGCAAGGCAGGAGTGTAGAAGGTGAAGGGGATTGTGGGAGGAGATGAGGTAAGAAGAGGCCAGGCTAAGGCATCTACTGTAAGGAGCCCGTGGGCAGTCAGTGGAAAGCTGAGGGCAGAAGGGTGACATGATGAAGTATCTGCTTTAAAAACACCCCAAGTGGAGGTGCTGGTCTGTGGCTGTCCTGTCCAGTGAGAAGCTTTGCAACCATGTCCTTGGGCCAGCGGCAGAGTGGATTCTGCCGGGAGGTCAAGTGTCCCGATCACAGAAACTGTTCAAACAGAGACAGGCGTGAGAATAAGAGAAGGATTCTCAGGCAGCCTGACTTGTCCTTTCCATCATTCCAAGCCTCTTAGTTCAAAGACGTTTAAAATTCCTGTATTTCAAGATTCCAGGATTTTGAGATTTTAGGCTTCTGAGAGGCGAGGTCTCTAAGATTCCTGAGCAGTGGAGATGTGGCTTATGTTTATTTAACCCACAGGAATGCAAAGGAAAGCATTTGGCAAACAAATGACAGTAAAGAGTCTTTGATACTCACCATGGCCACAAATGCTGGCCAACTTCTGTACCTGCTACTCAACCGAAGAATCGAGGACCTGTGAGGAGGGTGGAGCTCTTGCTGAGAGCAGGGTTGGCATACATAAATTGGTACTATACTTACGAGCAATCAAAGTTATTTTCATGAGAAATGTTAAGTACTCTCCTGTTTCACTTCACAAGCTGATTTGAAAACCTTAAACCTCAGCTATATTCTCGCGTTCTTAAATTCCTTGATTTAAGGAATTTTATGATGTGATGGAAGAAACAGGTGATTCTCAGCCAACGGCTGCTTATCAGGGTCACTGGCGGAGAGGAAAAAATACAGCTGGGCCTCAGTTGCAGAGCTTCTGATTCAGGAGGCATGGCATGGGATCCAGGCATCAGTGTCTTTCCAACTGATTTCAGCCCACAGCAGACCTCTGGTGCCTTTTCATCTCTGTTCTTTGAGCAAGACCTGACTGCACCTCAGGTTTTTTGGTTGGCATCTAAAACGCCAGAAGCCGAGGCGGCCCTGGTTCGGATGCGGGGACAGTCTGGGCTGGTCCTGTGGTCTCCTCCCTCAGAAGGGGCGGGACACGATAGACGTGTGTCTGGGAGCCTGAGAGGTGGGGCCTGAGTTGGGGGAGGGGGATGGGGAGGATGGGTACAGTGGCAGTTGCTCTGAGAAAGTTTTCAGGCTGTCTGCCCACCCTGGTATGAGCAGAACTCTGTTCCAACTTTAAAAGAAATCAGGGCAGAAAATGCGGAGCTGTGAGTAAAAATAATATCAAACATGAAAGATGTGGAGTAAACTGCATGCAAATTGCATGCAAATTACATGCAACTATGCGACATTTAATTGCACAGGCTTGGACCTTCTGGTCTGGGAGGAGGGGATTTAGAAAGAATGCTAAGTGACATGGGGTTCAGATTCTCCAGCTGGGAGCTTGGGGACACAGGGAAATAGCAGCCTGAGTGTTCTTCTTGGGCTTTGCTCCCTAAATACATTTTATTAGTTTATTCTGATTATGCATGTAATAGGCACATTATAGAACTCTCAGAAAATAAAGAAAAAAATTAAAATTTTGAAAGACTTTTCATCCTACTGTTAATATTTGACATACTCCTCCTAGTTTTTCTATGTGCATCTACACACACACACACCCTCCCCCCAGCCGCCCCCGCACCCAGCATGGCTGGCCTTGGCTGGCTCTCACCTCTCTTTCTCCTCCAGTTTCTTCCCGAAGTGCGATGTGGTGAATTTCGGCTCCTGGTTCATTTTTGCCTTCCCGCTCATGCTGCTGTTCCTGTTGGCGGGCTGGCTCTGGATCTCCTTCCTATATGCGGGAATGACCTTCAGGTACCTCCCCTCTTTAACTTGAGCTTTGAGCCAGACTGAATTGCGTTGGACCCAGGGCCCTTCTCACCTGGGAGTGGCCTTCCTAAGTCTCAGCCTTCTACGTCAACTGAAGATTATCCTTATAACTTCTTTATCTTCTCACGTAGTGACTGGAGTAGACATCACTTCCCAAGGTAGTGTGTGACCTGCCTGCTATGTCCAGACTCTCATTAATTCTCCCATCATCAATGCTAATACACTAATAAAAGCACATTTTTTATTTTAATGGATATTGTCAAGTCATTCTCCATAAGAATTGCACTAATTGTACCATTTACCATGTATGAGAGTGTCTGTTCCCATGTAGAAAGGTGGCTTTTTGCCAACCTGATAAAAGAAAAATAATCTGCATTTATTTTATTGGAGTAGTTTTGAGCAACTTTTAATGTTGAAGGCAATATGAAAGGTTTTTATATATTCATGGGGATCACTGGTTATTTCCTTTTCTGTAAATTGGGTTTATATCCTTTGTACATTTTTCAGATGGAATGTTAGTGTTGTTCTTATTGATTTCTAGTACTCTTTATATATTGAAAGATTCGTGATTATTCTGCAAGGTGAGTTGCAAATATTCTTTCCTGAGTGCTTTCTTTCATGAAGAATTTTTGAGAAAATTTTATACAGATGAATTTATCAATCTTTTCTCATATAGCTTCTGAGTTTTCTATTATAATTAAAAGGGTCTTCTCGTTAAAAGAGCTATTTTAAAAAAGTAATCACATATTTTCTTTTGATATTTTAATTATTCTTACAATTAATTTTTTTTAAAAAAATCTGTTTGGAGTTTATCCTTAAAGTGCTGTGTGAGGTTTGAATCCAATTTTATTTTCTGTTCCAGATGACCACCCGGTTGTCCAAACACCATTTACTGACACACCAAATTTTTTAATTTTGATGATGTCCAATTATCTATCTTTGATTGCTTGAGCTTTTGGTGTTATATATCTAAGAAACAGTTGACTAGTCCAAGGCAAGGAAAATTTCCCCTATGTTTTCTTCTAAATATTTTATAGGTTTAGCTCTTACATTTAGGTCTTTGATCTAGCTGGAGTTAAATTTTGTGTATGGTGTGAGGTAGGGATCCACATTCATTCTTTGGCTTGTGGCTCTCCAGTTGTTGTGGATCCATTTGTCAAAAGACTTATTCTTGCCCAATTGAATGGTTGTGGTATCCTTGTCAAAAATCAATTGACTCTAGATGTCTGGGTTTATTTCTGGACTCTCAATTTGATTCCATTAGTCGACATGTCTAACACCATTGACTGAATAGCCCATCTCTTGCACACCAATCTGTGATACCAAGTTTATCACAGATGAAATCCCCATTTATGTTTGGGCACATTACTGGACTTCCTATTTTATTCCATTGATCTGTCTGTTTATTCATGTTTCTGTTTGATCCCCTAAAGGGCCCCTGGGAGTTGTATGATCAGATTCACATTTTTAAAAGACTATCCAGGCTGTAGGTGGGGAGAGCAGATGTGAGAAAGGGAGGACAGAGGGAGACCACTCAGCAGGCCATTTCAGTCTGCAGAAGAGCGACAATGTGGCCTGGCCAGGGGGCAGTGGCTGGGGAGAAGTTAGCCATCCTTGCAGTGGCTACCCCTAACTTCCCCTCTTTTTGTTTCAGGGGCTGGAGGAAGAAGAAATCTGAGGGCAGAGCTGGTGCACAAGATAGGGCTCAAGCTATAATTCAGGAGGAATTCCGGAGTCTGGGGCCCATGAAGTGCGTGGCCTGGGGTCCTTGGGAGAGGGGGTGGGGGAGAGCGACCTCCTTGTCTAACCCCTGGGTCCCTGGGGGCTGAGTCCCAGGGGAATATCAAGCCCAATGGCCTGAGATAGGATCCTTGATATGGAGGGTAGGGAGGTGGCTTAATAGTCCGCTTCTAGCCCTGGTGCTGGGGTAGACACCTTGAGGACCAGAAAGCCCTTCAGGGTGTACTTGGGGTGGGGACCTGTCTCTGTCCTGCCAAATGCACCCTTTCCCTCCTGGTACATGGCATACCCGACATTGCTTTGGGAGACTTCCAGGGCTTTGTTTAATATGTATGTGTCTCATGTGGTAAAAATAACTAGGAGTCAGCAGGCTTGCCTCCCAGGGCTGACTCTGCTGCTAACATCCTGTGTGACCTTGAGCAAGGCACTGACCCTCCTGAGGCCCTGTTCCCCGATCTCTTAAATGGACACATTGAGTAGACATTTGCCCCAACATTTGAGGCTTCTCTCTTTCCTCCTCTGCGTACTTCTTCCTTCATGTCTTTCCCTTCCTGTGTTTGTCACTCTGTGTTTAAGTTTATCTGTCTGCCTCTGTGTGGGACTCTTCCTCTCTCTTTGCCTACTTCTGTCTGTTTCCTTTCTTTCTGCTTTTCTGACTCTGTCTCTGTTTCACTCTTTGTCTCTGTCCCTGGATTCTCCATCAGATTCTCCTTAGGACTCTCCTCTGGTAGAAATGATATAATAGTTTTGGGGCGGGGGGGGGTACTTGATGCGTAGGAAGGGTCCTGGCTGAGTATGGTAGCACCAGGCAGGAACCGCTCACATCATGGGACACCCCTCTCCTCGTGCTGGGGGCTTCTTGAGAGGTGAATTACGTATTTCAGTTTCTCAGAGGTGGGGTCTGGGCCCGGTCACACGATGGGCACCTGCCTGAGGCCTTCTCGCCCTGTGGTCCACCGGAGCCCACGGTCACCATGTGTTTGCGCATCTGTGCTACAGGTTTGCTGAACTGGCCGTTTTCATCCTTTTCTGCATGTTCGCCATTCTCCTCTTCTTCCGGGACCCGAAGTTCATCCCTGGCTGGGCCAATCTCTTCCCCACTGGGTGAGCCTCTGGGGACCCCTGGAACGGAGTTCAACAGGGAAGATTCTGGGATGGGCCGCTTGGAGCTGGAGAGGCACTGCAGCGGGGGTGACCTGGGCTAGTTCGTACCCCTTGTCCCTGGTGATTTTCAACAGCTCCTTCTTTTGCTCCCAGAAGAGTTTAGGTTTGGATGATAAGACATTTATTGGGGTTCTCCTGTATTGAGAGCTTCGGCTTTGAAATCAGAAAAACTGGGTTCCAGTGGCAGCTCTGCCACTTACAAATTGTGCAGCCCTGAGCATGTCATTCATTCATTCATTCATTCAATCAGCATTTATCGAGAGCCTAATATGTGCTAAGTATTATGCTAGATGCTGGGGACACACAAAAACAAGTAGTTAGACAACAAAATAGCTCATTGTAATGAGTGTAATGAAAGAAAGAGTGAGTGGGTGATGAAAGAATGGAGCGGGGACCTTGACTTTGGAGGGTTCTGGGAAGGACCAAAGGTTAAGAAGAGTGGAGGTAAAAATTGGAGACACACTGGACATGTCTACTGGGAGCCTGAGGTAGGGACCAACGTAGGACATTTGATGACCTGACAGAAGCCCGGTGTCACTGAGGCCCGGTGGGCAGGGAGGACAGTGGACCAGGCGTGGCTGGAAGGGAAGACGAGAGCCAGGTTGTGGAGGTCTTGTTGGACATGTTAAGCATTTTGGCCTTTTTAAATGAGAACAATAGGAAGCTATTGAGGGTTTTAAGTTAGTTAACCTCTCTGTGCCTCAGCATCCTCGTCTGTAAAATGGTTCTGTAACAGAACACTTCTCATCGGATTGTTCTGAGCATAAATGAGTTAGTACATGTCAAGTGGTTAGAATTGCTCATAGGAAGAACTCCATAAAACATTAATTACATTTACTAGAGAATGGGTAGTGAGGGCAAAAATACAGGTGGACAGAATAGTTAGGAACTATAACAGCAGGTGGACGACCCCTGTCATCTAAGATAGGGGCCAGGAAACAAAGGCGCATGGGCCAAATCCTCCCTGCCCCTTGTTCTTGAATGGTTTTTACATTTTTAAATGGCTAGAGAAAATCAAAAGACAATACATGGTGGGGCAAAAGTAGGCTTACAGTTGTGAGTATGTGAGACACAAGAGTATATTCTTATGTTATTACTTATTAACCATTATACTTCACATGAACAACTGTACATATTAGACTTGATAAATGACACACGAAAATTAAATGAAATTCAAATGTCAGTGTCTACAGATAAAGTTCTGTTGGACCACAGCTCACACCTATTCATTCTTGTACTGTCTATGGCTGCTTTCATGCTATGACATCAACGATGAGCCATGACAGAGACCACATGGCCTGTAAAACCAAAAATATTTATTGTGTGGCTCTTTACAGAAGACGTTTACCCAAGTCTAGGCGAAGACTTCAATGGCTTGAATGAAAGCGGTAACCATGGAGAGGGGACAGTCAAGATGTATTTCAAGGTTAGAAATGACAGGACTTGCTATGGCTGAACTCGGGGGCCTGAGAGAAAGTAGTGCCCACATCGATGGCGTTTAGTTGGAGAAGAACATCCTTTAGAGAGACTGGAGGTGCCTTATCAACAATTCTATGTTGAACTTGGTTCAGGCTCGTCAGATCTAATCCGTCTCCCAGATACTGCAATGGGCAGTTGGATATGCAAGCCTGGAGCTCAGAGGTGTCAGGTTGCAGATAGAAACCTGGGAGTCATCATATGATTGCGGACTTTAAATCCATAGGAATTGATGGACTCAGCTAGGGAAAGAGTGTAGGGAGAGTGTAGTAGGCTCTGAGGAACCCCAGCATTTAGGAGCGGGGTAGAGGATGATCCCATTAGGGAAATGGAGGAGAAACAGCCAGTGAGGTGGGCACAAACCTGGAGCCACGGTCTAGCAAAGACCAAGAGAGCGAGGGTTTTAAGAACGAGTGAGTTGGCAGCTGTGTCAAATTCTGGCATGAGTTAGAACATGATTAGATGGCAGATATGTCCTCTGGATTTGGTAAGATCTGATGCTCGTCAGCACCATCAAAGAGAAGTATAATGTGAGCCACACATGTAATTTAAAATTATTTATTTACTTATTTTTATTTTTAGAGAGGGGCAAGGGAGTGAGAAAGAGAGGGAGAGAAACATCAGTGTGTGGTTGCCCCTCGTGCACCCCCCTACTGGGGGCGTGGCCTGCAACCCAGGCATGTGCCCTGACTGGGAATCAAACTGGAGACCCTTTGTTTTATAGGCCTGCACTCAATCCACTGAGCCACACCAGCCAGGGTGTAATTTAAAAAATTTTAATAGCCACATTAAAGAAGTCAAAAGACAGAGAGGAAAATAAGTATAGTAATTTATTTTTTATAACCCAATATATTATTTCAACATGTAATCTATATAAAAATCTTTTTGAGATTTCATTTTTTTTTTCATGCTAAGTCTTCAAAATCTGGTGTGCATTTTATATCGCCACACGTTTCAGTTTGGTCTCGCCACGTTTCAAGCGCCCACGAACCACGCGTGGCTTCTGGCCCCCCGTGTTGGCCAGAGCAGCCGTCTGCACCCCCTCTCGGGCCTCGGCCTCCCCTCTGCTAACGAGGGCCGTTCCAGTTCCGACCCCGAAGGCTGACATGAGGAAGAGAGTGTAGAGTTTCACGGAGCCCGGAGAAGTGGCTCTTATTACCATTCTTCAATTTTTCCAAGTAGATACTTGGTTATTTTTTTCAGATGAAAAAAATGGGGATTGTAAATGTTCAAACAACACAAAGAAAATAAAAATCACCTAGAATCTCCATCTCCAGATCTGATGTACAGCCTCTCTGACTTTAAAAAATACGTATCTGGACACTATCCTCCAAGTTGATTGCAGTGGTTGTTATGAGACTGTGTACATTAGTTACAACTCACTTAACTGTATCCTTAAAATGGGTGCATTATATTCCATGTTAATTATAGATTTCAGTAAACTAATTTTAAAAACACATGCAAACTAACTAAAAAGAAACCTATCTAAACACAAGATTTTTTTGGCAGAAGTGTGACTATAGTGAACAGATTGTCTGTGATCTGCTTTTTTTTGTTTCATGATAAAAATTTAAACAATGCTGGATTGAAAAACTAAAATTTAGTTGCCTTTCATCTCTCCTCTGTACCATCCCCAGAGATGTGCACAATTAAAGTTTGGTATGTAATGTTTCAGATACACACACACACATAACAAAAACCCAGAAAATATAGTCATGGACAATTTGCTATTTCATCCTTTAAACACTGCCTAATATTCTATAGAATGGGAGTATTTTTCATTGATTTTATCAATTCCTTTTGGACTGTGTCCAATACTGTAAATAAAAAGTTTTTTTTAAATAAAAGTTTCTTGGTTGTATGTCTATTTTAATACATAAAGATTGATTTTTTTCTTATGTATTTAAAAAAAACAGATGCAGAAATGAAACAGATGCATTACATTTATATTATTAAACCCAACTCATTTAAACATCTTCTATTTTTCACCCTTATCAATAATGAACAGCCCTCTATATAATCTGTGTGTAAGAGCCCAGTTATTTCCTGAGGTTGAACTCCTAGAAGTATAATAACGGCATCAAGAGACTTTCACACGTGAGGTATGGAGACATGTCGCCAGCCGCCATCTAGAAGCTTAAATGTTTATTTTCCCACCACTCCTATGTTTCTCAACAGGCTCGCTTGGTATTAGTGCTTCGATTTATATTCCTCTAATACAGTGATACTGACTGTCTTTTTCAGTTTCTTGGCCATTTGAATAATCTTCCCAAATGTGTGAGCTAAAAAAGCCTTTGTTAGTCGTTGGCTCTGAGCTTTATTGAACTTGGAGCTGGAAAAATCTGGTTTCATTGCCAGTCTCCTCCACGGACCATGGTCTGGCCTTGAGCAAGTTGCTTCCGCTCTCTGAGCCTTGGATCCCTCATCTCAAATAGAAGATGCTTGCCTCAGGCTTCTGTGAGCTTAACATCTCTACAGGATTCTTTGTGGATCCTTGAAGAGTGGTAGTTAGGCTTTGAGGGGCTATGAGGCTGGCTCTATCTGGACTCTGCTGATGGGAATGAGTGCTATATCCATGTAGTAAGCTGCCCATCCCAGGAGGAATGCAAAGAGAGGCTGAACAAATACAGGGCTGTTACAGGAACGGTGTTTACGGTGATCCATGGGGATCCACAGACCCTGGGATTCTGTGGCTCTCAGATCCTTTCCTCCGTGGTCACATCCCCTTACCTCGGGTCCTTGGACTGGAAGAAAAGTGTTTGTTTGGCTCAAGCAAGCTGTGAAGGCCCCAGGGAGCTGTGGATCCAGGGCTTTTGCCTCCACGGGGGGTTGCATCCGTGCTCAGTTCTGTGCAGGACGGAGTCCAGAGGCGCCCGACAAGACCCCGTCACAGTGGCCCGAACTTCCTCCCGCGGATGCTCATGTGTAAACCTGCTGAACCTTGGGCTGCTGAGATGCCCAGGGTCACATGCCTTGGGGGCCTTGTCTGTCATTGTAGGTTTACTTCTGATGCTGTCACCGGTGTGGCCGTTGTCACCATCTTGTTCTTCTTCCCGTCCCAAAAGCCCTCTCTCAAGTGGTGGCTTGACTTGAAAGGTAAGGGATCAGGGCGGGGGTCTCGGGGAGCTCAGTGAGTTCTGCGGCCTGGAGTGCGGTGATCTGTGGCCTGGAGGTGGGGTCCATGCCTGGGACCGACCACCCTGCTTCCTCCGGGCTTCCTGCTCGAGCCGTTGCCTTGTCCGGGCACTTAGGGCTGCCAGAGGTGACTGTCCAGGGCAGGGTGACCAACTACAGCCCACACGCCAAATCCAGCCAGCAGCCTGTTTTCGTACAGCCCCCGAGCCAAGAATGGCTCTCACGTTTTTAAGTGGTTGAAAAAAGTCAGGAGAAAAATATGTCGTGACACAGGAACGTTACATGATATTCAAATTTCAGTGTCCAGAAATAAAGTGTTTAGTGTCTCCCGTAAGAAATTTGTGGGCCAATATTTTCTTTAGTTGTAGAAATACCTACACAATGGCCTCGATTTTGCCTCTTGGCCCACAGAGCCCAAAATACTTACTTTCTCATCCTTTTCAGAGAACCTTTGCTGTCCCTGGACTTGCAACTCCATTGCCTAAGGAGTCGGGCAAGAAAACCTCCAGCTGGGTTTAGATGTATAGAAAGTGGTGGGGAATGAGGCAAAAGTGCCACAAAGCGTTCACATTCTGCTTAAAACGATCACTGAGCCCTCCGAACCAAACCGTATGTAGGCTGGCCTTGGCCTTCGGAGTACCAATACGTGACCCCACTGGATTTCCAGCAGGTGTCTGCCAGGAGAAGGTGCTGCCACCTGCCACCTGTGACAGAGGCGGGGCCTGGCCCATCTCTCTGGAGGGTGTGTTGACCTCGGGACAGGAGTCAGGAATTAGGGGTCACAATCTACCTATTTTCTACTGTTGAAAAAAATGGAGTCTTACAAAGGATAGTTTCAGTTTTGGAGGATGGGGGTTGGAGTGTGGGGAGTTCGGCATAAGGATCGGGAGGGAGAGGGTTTGACAGGGTCCCACCAACAGCTGCTGGAGCAGAGCTACTCAAGGAGACTGGCGCTGGGTCTGAGGAGCTGAGGCCGTGGGCTTTGGGCTCTGCAAAACTGAATGGGATCCTTGTTCCCCCCATCTCTGCTTCTCTGTCTCATTTCCAAACTGCTTCCCTCACCTACGGAGCTGTGTCTTTCTAGCATCTGCTTCATTATAGTTCTTGCTTTTTTTATAACTCCTGTTTCCTTATAGTGTCTCCTACCTGCTAGCGCCCACTCGCTGGTACAATCTGCTCCCATGGCTTCTACTTTTTCCTGTCCCCTCGGTTGCAGTCCCCTCATAGCTTCTAGTCTTACGGTGCGTACTCCTTTGAGCCTATCTGCTTCCTCAGAGCCTCTGCTTCCTCTTAGTATCTATTTTCTCATCATTTCTGCTTTCTCATAATCTCTGCCTCCTCACAGTTTCTGCTTCCTTGGTTTCCACTTCCTGGTAGGATCTACTTGCTCATTGTTTCCATTTCCCCACAGAACCTCAGTCGCTAATGCCCCTCCTATGCCATGCGACCTCTCTGTCTATTCTTTCACCTTAAGTTATCACTTCTCTTTGCCCCGTTATCTATTTCCCGCTGATACTTCTAAGAGGAAGAATCTGGTTGGTCTAGCTTATTCTTTTTTTATATATATAACGGCTGTACTGAGTTATAACTTACATACTACACAAATCACCCATTTAAAGAGTACAAGTCAATGACTTTCAGTATATTCAGAGTTGTACAGTCATACACATAATGAATTTTAGAATATTTTCATCACCCCATGAAGAAACCCTAGTTCATTAGCAGTCACTCATGCCCCTCCCCCAAGCCCTAGACAACCGCCAGTCTACTCTCTTTATAGATTTGCCTCTTCTAGGAAATTTTTTAATATATGTAGCCATAGTTATATAGGTGATCCTTTGTGACTGGCTGCTTTCACTTAACATGATGTTTTTAAGGTTGGGCCATGTTGGAGCATGAATCAGTACTTGTTTTTCTTACTTGGGCAGATCTTCCCCCATCCGGCTGCCCTGCAGCCTCACTGATTCCTGTGGCCCAGCTGCTCTGGATCAGGTTCTGTCCTTGGTTCTGTCACCTGGGAGTGGGCCCTTAAGGCCCAGAGCTTCCTCTCGGCGGGACACCCTCACCCAGATGCCTGATACCCCAGCTCTGTTACTATCCGCGAGGTGCCCTCGAATGAGTTCCCATGTTCTCCGGGTCTTACTTTCCCTAAAAACGAGCAGGCCCCTGAGACACACCAAACCTCTGGCCTTCCTAGTCCTACAGAACCGGGGTTGCAAACGCCAATGCCTCCAGGGAAGGGACACTCACGTAGGCAGCAGGCGGGGCGCAGGACGACTCGTGTCAGGGAACAGGCCTCCCCTGTTCATCATTCCTCTCCCACGTTTGAAACAGAGAACAGTTTCTGTGTTACAAGAAAGTAGCACTAGGGGATGACAGGAAGTGCCAAGACCCGGTGGAAAGTGGGATTTTGCAGGATGCTCGTTCGCATATGTTTCGTCCACGGCTGCTTCGCGCCGCTGTGGCAGCCTCTTTGCAACAGAGGCTGCAGGGCCTCAATGATCCACTCCCTAACCCTTTGCAGAGAAGTGTGCTGACCCCTGGTCTAACCACTGCACACGCTGCCGCTTTGGAAAACATAAAAATCGCCCCATAATTCCATGGGATGAAGGTTCCTATAGTTTTTTCCTCCTGAATAGCCTTCCTCTTTCTTTCCTCTCTACACATGCAGTTATAAAGAGAGCCTTTTGTTCTATGTGAGGATGAAAGTAACGCTTACCCGGAAGGGCTGCTGAGAGGCTGCATGTGGAGTGCCCCATTCCAGAAGGTTCTCAATCCTCCAGGAGCCGTGGAAACTATCGCATTCTGAATAGAGCAGATGGCCCACCCTGATGCTGTGGGGTGTTTCCCTGATGCTCCAGAATCAGGTGCTGGAGCCAGGCTGTGGCTTCCTGGAGAACCCTGAGTGTCCCCACAAAGATAGGGCTGCAGGGACCGGGGTCCACGCCTCAGAACGAGTATCTTCTCTTTGCCCAGCTCCCACCACAGAGATGGAGCCCCTGCTGACGTGGAAGAAGGCCCAGGACTCCGTCCCCTGGAACATCATCCTTCTCCTGGGAGGGGGCTTCGCCATGGCCAAAGGCTGTGAGGTAAGAACGGCAGGTGGGCTGCAGGCCCGGGGAGGTGTGGGCAGGTCCCGTTCCTAGCTGCAGGCTCAGCAGAGGAGCCAGTGATGCCACGGGCCCAGCAGATGCCAGCTCATTTGCCAACTGGGATAATCATTGTTCTCATCTCAGTGCCTGGTGCTGTGGAGAAAGAGAGAAATAAGGCATGATCTGGACCCACCAGGAGCTCATGATGAACATAATACTATTACTAGTGCCAATGACATCATGACTCTCAGAGTTCTCGAAGCACAGAGGAACACCGCCACCTTACTGTGCTCACCCTGTCCAACATGCTTTATACAAATTAACTGACCTGAACTTCCCAACAAGCCGCTTGGCACATGCCATCATTGTCTCCATTCTATAGATTAGGAAACAAAGGCACAGAGGGATGAAGTAACTTGCCTGAACGCACACAACTATGTACTCAGGATTAGAATCCAGGTAGTCTGGCCCTAGAGTGTGTGCTTTTAGCCACCACGATATAAATGTTAGATATTTTTATTATTAATTAATTATTCATATTATTCTAGAGGGTTCTGTGAGCTCAGAAGCAGGGCTGGGACTAGGGGGAGGCGAGGAAGGCACTGAGGTACGGGATTTCAGGGGACGCTCGCTCTCAGCGTCGTCGGCCTTGCTCAGAAGAAGAGCAGTTTGGTGTCCGGCATGCGGCATAACGTATCACCTCCCCGAATCCTCACATGGGCCCGAGGGTCCCCGTAATATTTTATACTTCCACTTTATAGGTCAGAAAACTGAAGTATGGAAAAATTAATCAACCCTCTCAAGATCATAAAATCACACTCTGCTGGGGTTCAAACTCCGGCCAATATAATTTCTGAGTCTGGGCTGCTAATGGCTCGGTTGGTCTCAAGAGCTTCCCACGCGGCAGGCACTGCTGGAAGCACTTTGCCAACACTGATTGCGCTGCTCTTTGTAAACACCACTGAAGTAAATGCTGTTCCTGCCCCATTGGAAAGACGAGGGGCCCGAGAGAACTTGGCGCTCAGTGGCTTGCGTACACCTGCGCAGACGGGAGATGGCAGGGCCAGGACGGCGACCCATAGCTGATGAGGCCGGGCCCTGCCCACCCCTAAACCGCTCCGTGTGAGCCCCTGCATTCCAATCCACAACCAGTTAAAGGGCAACCCAAAATGAAGGTAGAGGAAACCTGCAGCCGCTTCTCAAATTGCCCTCTTTTAAAATTCAATTTAAAATTTCAGGCTCAAATAGTGTTACAGTGCAAGATGTCTATTAAAGTATAAACTAGTCAGAAGCCCAGGCGGGGGGATCCAAGTACCTAGATTCAAATCTGAGCTCTATCACCCCTCACGGGGGCACTTGGGGCAAGTTCCTTAACCTCTCTGGGCCCCAGTTTTCGCACCTATGAATTGGCTCAAAGCACTTACTCTAGAGGTGGTTGGGAGCAATTAAGGAAGATAATGCTGATACAATCCCTGGGCACCCTCGTACCATGGTTAGTGCAGGTTTTGCTCTGGGAAGCAGAGTGGAGCAGGAGGTTTATTAGGTTATTCGGTGACCTTCAGGTCACCTCCTGTGGCAAGGATGAGGCAACCCCGCAAAGCCTCCGCCAAACTCCTAGAGAGTTCCGAGCTGAGATAGCCCTTCAGAGGTGTCCCAGGTGGTCCAAGATGGCCAGGCCTTAATATCCCGCATCCTTCCATTGTTTATGGACGCAGGCCTCCCCAGGAGCAGGTGTGACCTTGGACAAGGCCACCCTTGAGTCTGGGGCTGACAGTGAAGGCCGTCTGCTGCCCATGCTCCCTGCGCTAGGGCAACAAGGCCTTCCTGGAGGGAGGCCTGGGTGGCACATTTAGGTTCTCCACACAGCTACTCTTTTCTGTGAACTAAATTTTTATTTTATTCATTTTTTTCCCATAAATAACACAGTTTCAAAAAGAGCCAAGGGATGGATGATCAAAAGTACTCTCGGGGTCTTCATTTTAAGAATCTCAAAGCCCAGAGAGGTTAAGCGACTGATTCTAGGTAACATAGCTCATGGGTAGCAGAGCTGCAATTTGAACTGGTGTCTCTCTGATTCTTCTCACTACTGCCTCCTACTGGAAGTGTATTACGGAGGGCTTCCCAGAGGAAGTGGCATGTTATCCAGGTCTTAAGAGGACCATGCAGTGCAAAGGTAGAAAGTATGGGTGTAGAACCAGGCCACTGGGTTAGAGTCACAGATCTTTTTCCTCTTAGCTGTGCACCTCAGTTTGCTCATCTGAAAAAACTAATGCATCCCATCTCGCAGCGTTGTTACAGTTACTAAATGAGTTGATATATACGGAGAACTTAGAGCATAGCCTGCAGAGCTGGTTGTTATGACTAGATATTGGGGAAAGAGGGGATCCAGGATCAAGGATGACACAGTGGTTCTTGCCCTGAGCAATGCTGTGGCCACGGTGCTGTTTACGGAGATGCACCTAGCCTGATACTGAGACAGGAGGCGGAGGGGCAACTCCACACCCCAGAGGCTTCTCTGAGCTCAGAGCATGGCGGGCAAAGCCTGTCTCTCAGTGGAGGCTGGGCTGCAGGACTGCTGAGCTTGCTGGGAGGCTAGTCTGGCTCCTGGCCCAGCCCCAGGAGCAGGTTGGGATTTCTGTTCAACGAGAGCTTTGTGTGGCAGTGGCCCCCTTCCCCCAGGCCCTGCTGGTATCAGCCCCTCCCCTGGCAGCGCGGCCTGCCCCGGAGGGACCAGAATGCTCTTGGCATATCCTGCTTCCTAGCCCCTGCTCAGTGCTCTTGCCAGGCCACAGAGGCCTCCTGCGGCTCAGGGGTCCTTGGAGGGGGCAGGGGTGAGTCTGGATGTGTGGACTCCCGCGTGCTGATTCTGAAAGGCTGGAATTAGATCCCAGGGCTTACTCTGAGCTTGGGCATCTCGTTTACACCCACTTCGTGTTCTCACCAGTTTTCTTCTGCCTCAAAATGGCCCATGGCTCCCCAGACATTTGCAGTCCAGTCTGAAGGCTTCCACTGGCCCCACACAGACCCTGTCAGCTACTACCTCTCTCCTCTCGTTGCCTCCACTCCAGCCCCGCTGGCCCCTTAGCAATTCCTCAGCCGCACTAGGTCCATCTGCACCCCAGGGCCTTTAAATGGCTTTCTCTCTGTCGAGCGCTCTTCCCTGAGATCTCCGAGTCCTCATCCTTCACATCTCAGCTGCAAGGTCACCAACACGGAAGGGACCTCCCAGCCAACATATGCAAAGTAGCCTCCCCACCTACACAGCCACTCTCTGTTTATCACTCTGCCCCGACCATAGCTACCCCTCGCATGGCCCTTGTCTCTTTACGGGTGTCTCTCTTTACTAGAACGTAAGCTCTGCGAGGGCAAGAACCACGCCTGTCTTATCCACCATGTCCCGTGCGCACTAAATAAATAAATATTGGCTGGACATGAGCTGTAAGATGGGCTGTGTCTGAGGGTCGATGGCGTGACGGGTGTGGACGGTGCCCGGCAGAGGGCTGGCACCTAACCCGCGCTGAGACCGGGGTGGCCCTCAGCCTCGCCACTTTCATGGACATGATCATTTCACCAATTCACGGAGGACAGTGTGGCCTCGTTCTGGCACCATCATGCATATCTTATTTAATCTCCACCACAGCAAACTGGTCTTCAGATATATTGAGGCTACCGAAGGTCAGTACTAAATCAGAGTGGAGCAAATAAAAACACGTGTCTTTTCCCAATTCCTCATTTCCTGCTGGAGATCTGAGGTTTGTTGTTGTTGTTGTTGTTGTTGTTGTTGTTGTTGTTATTTCAATTGGAGAAGTAGCCTGATGAAATAATTAAGAGCCAGACTGTGAGCTCAAAGTTCCAATTATAGGGCAAGTCATTGCACTTAATTGGGCACATCACAACTTCTTGGTCCAAGGACACAGAGCTTCTGATTCCTAAGGGAATGGGAATAGGCAGGTGAAGCCCTCAGAGTTCCCAAGAGGGCTCCCGCAGGTAGCTGGGGTTCTCCTCTCTCTCTAAGCTGCCAGACTTCCCCGTGGCCATGGAAGCTGAGCTAAGGGCATGAGAGGCCGCTGGACGTTGGCTGGAAGCCCATCAGCCAGAGGTCTAGCTGCAGGGAAGTTCTTGGCTTCTCATTCATTCAAGTCATTAACATTCCCTCTCTCCATTTAATTGCATGCACTGCTGTTGGTCTGTTGGCCAAAGCTGTGGCCTTTGCGAAAGACCAGTGGCCCCATTTTCACCTTGAAATTTTCCCTGGGCCAGCGGAGGGGCTGGGGTCTTGGCTCTGTGCCATGTGCCATGATTTCTAGGCTCTCAGACAAACAGTGCAGATGAGGAAGAAACACTTTAATTTTACAAGGTCTCTTCTAGGGAAAATATCTTTAAGCATATTTGTTTATTGAAGGTAATTTTAAAGTCAGATAGTAGGAACAAGTCTGTTATTTTATTTATTGAAAAACAGTACGCTGTGTTCTAGAATCGATTATGAAATTTTAAGTTCTGGATAAGCAGTAAATTTTCTATTAAAAGAAATGCAGAAAGTTTCTTTGGTAGACCAAAGTGCTTTGGTACCAGATGATATTGGGTTGGCAAAAGGGCTGTGCTAGACACACACATGATTGTAAATATTAGAGGGCTAACCCCACTATGCCTTCAGCCAACATCTAAACCTATGGCTTTATCTTCGTCAAAAAACAAAACCTGACATGCAGGACTTTGTGAGATTTTAAGATATGGCTGCATGGCACCACCAGGGGGCAGAATAGAACACAATTTTACATCTTCAGCTTTGTGGCTTTGGGGTTCTAACAAGAAAGTGTGTTGGGACGCTTGGTACTTAAGGATACTCTCTCCTCAGGCAGGACGAGTAACTGGGAGAAGTGTACACATTGTATACTTGCAAACAGAGTAACTCACGAAGTCAGTGGAGACAGCGTGGAGATAATTCTGCAGATTGATGGCAGGGTGGAATCTGGAGCCAGCGAGGGCACAACCTAACGGGTCCTTTCTTTATCCTGTTGGGCTCTGGTCAGCTCTGGGCATTGCTTTTTATATTAAGAGGAACAGTGACAGACTGGCGTGCCCAAAGGAAGGCACCTGGGTGACAGGGACTTTTGCTGGAGCACATTAGCTTACAGAAGCACGTGGCCCGAAGTGTGACATTCATCTTAGTCATTACTTTTGGGTACCCCGGGCATCACAGAAGCTTTGCCTGTCTCAGGTCGTTCCTCTGTAACCCAGGGACGAACGTCTACCGTATAGGATGGCAGGGAGGATTGAGGGAGGCAGCGAGTGCAGGTGCCTGGCACTCTATAAAGCCACAATAATGGTGACTGTTATGATCATGAATAATAAGATAATGTTATAACATTCATGTTCATGTTATCATGTAATAAACTTCCTTATTATTATTGGTCATAAATATCTTTATTAGTTATAATCATATCAATAGTATTATATTTAATATATACTTGATACATTTTATATTATATATAATATATAGTGTATCTTGTATATATTATACATTTGATGCATATTAATATATAACAATTAAAAGACTAACATTTTATAATAACACCTTGTGCTAATATCATTTTAATTAATAACTGTCATTGGAGTAATGTGGAGATTTATCATGGGGAATCCAATTCCCTTCTCCCATTCTAGTTAGATACTTACTGGTGCCCGACCCCAGTGGATTGCTTGGAGACCCTCATGGATTGTTTGAGGGTCCAAGGCTTTGGGCTCCGGGCCTATAGCGTATGGAATAGAGAAGAGTTCAAAAAGCAGAGAAGCTGACTCAAGTCCAGGCTCGAATGTGTGACCTTGGACGTGTAGCTTAGCCCCTCTGCACTTCAGACTCCGCATCCAGGGCGGAGCACCGCGGTCATTCCTGAGATTGACGCCCTCCCTCCCGCCTGGGCCCCGCCCCGCTCGGCGCAGCGGAGCTGGGCTGGGTGTGAAGAGATGCCCTTGCCTCCCCCTGCAGCAGTCGGGGCTGTCCGTGTGGATCAGTGACCAGCTGCACCCGCTGGAGAACGTGCCGCCCATGCTGGCCGTCCTGATCGTCACCCTGGTCATCATCTTCTTCACCGAGTTTGCCAGCAACACGGCCACTATGATCATTTTCCTGCCTGTCCTGTCAGAGTTGGTGAGGGTCCTTCCGGGGACGAGGGGGGAGGAGAGGAGGGGCCCCTGGACCCCCAACAACACGGGTCAGAAAGCTCTCTGCCGCTGGCGGGCGCTCCACAAGGGAGCTGCCTGCTCACCGCTCTCTTCGAAGTGCACGGAAGTGTCAGGACATTGATTTAAAAAAAAAAAATACTGTTTTTTTCCTTCAAAAAATGTATACACAGAGGCAATATTTTCAAAGTGACCAAATTCCCTCCTTTGGAAAGTTTTCTAGGAAAATATAAATTACCAAATTTGAGTTAAGCGGAAGTAGAAAATCTGAGTCGTCAAATAACCACGAGAGAAATTCTAATGATAGCAAAGCTGTAGCCACCCTGGGGAGCCGGGCTTCTTGGCACTGCTGACACTTGGGGTCAGTGGTGGGGACTGTCCTGTGCACTGTAGGGTGCTCAGCGGCCCCCCTGGCCTCTACCCACTGGAAACCAGGAGTGCCCCCTCTAAATGAGGACCATCAAAAATGTGTTCAGACATTGTCAAATGTTCCCTGGAGGGACAGGATCGTCCCCAGTGGAGAACCACTGCTGTAGAAGTCACCAGCCCAGGAAAGTTGGCCAGGACAGGGAAGGTGAAAGTTTCCCTTCGAGAAAAAGATAGTGCTCAACTTACCCAAAGCGTTCCAGGGCGCAGAAAGGTAGGGAAAGCCATTCGATCCAGGTAGAAGGTTAGCCAAACCCCGACACCAGGAGCAAACCAGGGGAGAAAGGGGTGAAGTGTCATAACTCCTGCTCACATGTAAATAAAGATGCAAATGGCAAAATGAATCCAGGATTGTAGGCAAAGAACACATCATGATCAAGAAGAGATTATACCAGGGATTTAAACACTGATTAACATGAGTTTTATACTTGAATAGATTAAAGAAGGCCAAACCATTTTACTACCTCAATATAATCCAAAATTGATCAAATTAAGTCAATGTTGAGAGTATATGCGTTGTATGCAAATAGTCACATACCAGGCACACTTGTCTGAACCACCTTAGTTTTGTTTGTTTACTTGTGCATCAATTACAACAGAGATCATGCTGTATTCACTGTATTTTCATACACAAAGATACACTTTATTCTTTGTCAATGACTGGAGAATATTCCATTATGAATCGATAGCTGTCAATTTATTTAAGCCATCTGTCTCCAGCTTTGCTTGGATCCAGCAACGCTGCCTCAAACTTTCCCTGTCTGGGCACCTTTGATGACATGTAGATATATTGGTAGAATTGAGATCCCTGGATTAGAGATCTAATTATAAATTGCACATTTACAGTTTTGTTAGATGTGGGCAAATTGCTCTCCAAAGCAAATGTGCCGTTTACACTCTCCGCCGCAATGGAGGGTGGGAGTTCCCCTCCTCTTGCTAAGTGCGATGGGATTTAATCACACCCTCTGAGGGACCCAGCAACCAAGAGAGTTGGAGGGGCTACCAGGAGGGATGGAGGAGGGAACAGAGGGCCAGTCAGATCCGCAGGGGCTGCTTTTCCTGGAGAAGACACTTGCAAACAACACCTTCTTCCAAATACTGCTATCATCAAAATCAGAATGTTTTATACACAAGGGGATAACTCCCCTAGAGAGGCCCAAACTCCCCTATCTTAAAATAAAATGCTAGAGAAGCGATCAACATGAATTGTCAGTGAATATGTCATTGGAGAGAGGTGACGAACTGGTGGCCCACTGACTGAGGCCAATGCATACACACATTTGATACACACAGTTAGAAATTTGGAAATGTTTGCCAACAGGTGCCATCTTGAGCTCTCCTTACCCCTGAAGTTCAGCGAGGCCCCAAGAAAAGGTGCCCAGAGCCTGGCTGTGGGGATTGTTTGGTAGAGAGAAGGACCAGGCAGGGGGCATGTTAGTTTAAAGCATCTGCCTCACCTGGGGACTTAATAGAAATGCAGATTCTTGGGGTCACCCCAGACCTGCTGAATCAGCCACCCGAGTTCTCAAGCCTCCGTGAGATTCCCTTGCACACTCAAGGTGGAGAAGGAGCGTCCTAGATAAATCTCCCCGGCCCGCCCTCCCTAATGGCCCTGCCATGTGGCCCTGGAATGTCACTAACCTTGAAAACATTCTCTCCGTCTCACCCTGGGTCTGGTTCTCTTCTTACCTGTCTGTCGGTTTCCACGTACTGCATCTCTCTTGCCTGCACATTCGTAACTTCTGGTTGCCTTTCTCATCGTCTCTAAATTGTCCTCTCTTGTGTTCTTATTGCTGGCTCTCACTCTGCCTTTCTCTGTCCCTGTGTCTTTGTCTTTCTTTCTCTACGTCTGTCTCCATGTCCCTCCCCTTCCAACCGTGTCTCCTGTGGTTTCTGCCTGGTTCTTTATGTCTTGGTCTTGCCACCCGCTCCTGGGTCCAGGCCATCCACCTGAGGGTGCACCCCCTGTACGTGATGATCCCTGCCACCGTGGGCTGCTCCTATGCCTTCATGCTCCCTGTCTCGACGGCCCCCAACTCGATCGCCTTTGCCTCGGGACATTTGCTGGTCAAAGACATGGTAAGTCTGGGCATTTTCTAGTGGAGCCCGGAGAGGTGGGTGGACACTGGGTGGTGGGCAAGGCATCTGGGCAGGTCCCTGTCCCCCCAATACCCCCCGCCCCCAGTATCTGCATAGTTCCTTCTGAGTGGGACCAAGAAGACACATTTTAGCAAAGACTCTATGCCTAGACAACTTCAGGAAACACTGCCTAAGAGACTCCTTGCCAAAGTTTGTGACAAGGACAAGGGACTTCCCCCCTCTCTGTGGGCATTGCTCTCTCTTATTGCTCATTTGGCTGATGGCTCTGTGCCCGGAATCTTTAGGAGAGAGGAGTAGCAGGCCACATGCTGGGACTTGAGAGGGGACCTCAGTGCCCGGCCAGCTGGGGAGTGAGGCGGAAGCCCAGGGTTGCGGCAGTTGGGGAACCCCCTGCTTTCGGCAGGGCTCAGCCGTCGGGCAGTGTGTTCCCTCTCCCACGGGCTCCACGCTAAGTCTGCCCCTCCCTTCTCCTGCTGCCTCTTCCCCTTCCACCCCTGCCTGGGGCATTTGTACACCAGATACCAGAATGCAAATAACCCTCCTTCAGCTGGTGCGGCCCAGAAGGGTGATCTGCTTCACCAATTCGTGATGCTGGCTTCCAGTGTCAGGCGCCCAGCAGGGTAAATGGCCAGGGAACCCAGGAGAGGGGCAGAAAGAGATCCCGGAGCAAACAGTGTAACAAAGATGTTAAAGGGCTAAGTAACTAAGTAATAAGGAGGAACTGAGCAGGCGTTTTGAGACAGGCCCCCAGGAACCCCGCAAAGGAAGAGCCAACTCTGCCTCCACATCCCCCAAAGTGTTGGCCAGGCTCCTTCTAATTCTCCAAACTTGCCAGGGGCTTTAAGACCCCTCCCCTAGATCAGAGGCAGCACAGTGCGGTTCCCTGACCTTGCCATGTGCCCCCTCACTTCACTGTGGATGATGCCCTTTCCACGAACCACCTGGAGTAATGTTCTTTTCCCAATTTTGCTAAACCAACTTACAATTAAAAAAAAAAAACAAACAACTTAAACAAGAGTATTTAAAAAGAAAAGTTAGCCATGTACATGTAAATGGGAAACCAGTATTGCGTGCCATTGAGGGTAAGTGTAAAACTAAATGCAAAGGGAAAAGGAAAAGCAAAATAATGAAATTCTCTCCAATAACAGTTGCCTGGAAAAGGCTCTGAACCCCCACTTGTTAAAAAGGGCAGCTGGACAGGAGGAGAGAAGCGTTAGGGGCAGGTAGCACCTCAGACAGACTTGCTCTTTGAGGACATGATTTGAAAAGCAATTGAAAAGGAGGTAACTTTCTCACCGTGTGCCCCATGGCTGGATGGTGGAACAAGCAGAAAACCCAGCTGGAAAACAGGAACTTTTAGCCCAAGTTCAGACGGCACAGTACGCGAGGTCCGCCTGGGTAGGGGGCAGGTAGACAGCTCTCTCCAGCTATTTAAAGCAGTAAAAATTTCCAGAAGTAACCATCTTCCCAGTAAACTAGTATAACCTTCACTGGACACACTGTGTGCGTGCGTGCGCATGTTGGGGTGGGGATCATTTAGTGGTCTTATCAGATTGCTATCATGTCATGTGGCTCTGAATAAGCCAACTTCTCCGAGTCTCACTTTCCTCGTCTGTAAAATGGGAATAATAATAACAATAACAACCCTTGTAGGGTTGCTTTCAGGTTTAAGCGACCCAGTGACAGCTGCAAGGCCCAGTACGTGGCCCCTAGAAACCAGTTACTAAATGAGGACTTTTGCAGTTCTTTGAGTGACAGCCTAGGACAGCGTGAAGAAGGGAGGGTCTCGGGCATCTGCCGGTCCGGGTCTGGTGCGGGGCTTTGGGGCTTCTCCATCTCTCTGCTGGGTCTCGAGTGTGCGCTCTATTTCAGGTGCGGGCTGGCTTCCTGATGAACCTGATAGGCCTCGTGCTGCTCAACGTGGCCATCAATACCTGGGCACAGGCGGTCTTCCAGCTGGGCACCTTCCCAGACTGGGCCCGCCACCACTTGGCCAATGTCACGGCACTACCAACCTCATTTGGGGCCAACAACACGCTACGGGCCCTCTGAGTCCCCCTTGGAGACTCTCTGCAGCCCGGGCCCTCCCAGAAGGCTTTGCCGTCACCTGCTGTTAGGATGAGACAGGACGATCAAGCGATTCTCTGTGAACCAGTATGCAGCAAGCAAGGTCCTCCTGGGTCAACGAGTTCATTTATCTAGTACACCTTTTCCTCTCTCATGCAGTTCAGGGCCCTGATATTTCCCAGACCTGCTGCCTGAGAAACAACCTCCTTTCTCTCTGAGCTGGAATGTGGTTAGGATGCAAGAAAGCCCAATTTCAGCAACAACAAGCAAATCTAGAACGGTATCTGTCCTGCCGTGGGCTCCACCATTGGAGCCAAAGGCTCCTGAACAGTTGGGATGGAAAGCTATCCCCCACCCCATGGGCCCAGCTGATGATCCCCACTGGCTTCTGTAGGTTGCACTCTGGAGGGACCGTCCTGTCTAGGGGTCTCCTTCCTGGGAGGGGGTTTTGGGCAGCAGTGTTCCTTCCGGTTCACTCATCCCCACTGCCCACGGCTGCTATGTGTTCTGTTCAGCTGGTGCCCATTCTGCACCAGCTGCTTGACTGTTTCCCCGCTGATACCCAGCAGACAGGGGAATTTTCAATCCGTGCAGACAGGAGGAGGGACAGAGGACTCCCTGAGGACATGGAGACTGTGCGAAGCCTCCTTGCTGTCTCTCGGGGCTCCCAAGTGCATCTAGAAACCCCCGCTGACATCGCTACACAAGCTTTTAGGTTTTTCTGTTTAATCTGATTCGGTTGGGCCATAACTCTGGAGTTGGGCCACGCCTGGGCCCTGCCCTCTGGCAGGTGAGTCACAGCACTCACCGCCGGCCAGGACCCTGCTGCACGGGGCCCACAGCGACCTTCGTGGCTGCTGTGTGTTCATCAGCTGGTCATTACCGGCTACCCAAAGTGGTCAGCATGTTTGATTAGCAAAGGCCACATTTTTCAGGGGTGAGAGAAAAGTCAAAAGATAAACCAGGGCCTTGCAAAGGGCCAGGGTAAAAACTCTCAGGCAGGCAAATATCATAATCCTCCTCTGCAGATACGCAGCCTGAGACTTTCCGTGAGCCAGCTGCTGGCAGGGGCTCTCCCAGGGGATTTGATCACTCCTGGTTTCCAGCGGAAACCTCTGGGTATCTCCAGTGAACAGTATGGTATCGGGCCCGGCGGAAGCTCCGGCAGTGTGTGTAGAATGAACGAGTGGCCCAGCGTCAGCACCACCTGAGGAGCCCCTTCCCGCACCTGTGAGGGATGGGGCTCCTCGAGCAGCTGCGTGGGCCGAGCAGGCAGTTCCCAGAGGCTGGACTCACCCTCCGTGCAGCAGGAGCGAGCCGTGGACGTTTCCCCGGAAGCCGTGCGGAGGCTGGGGGAGAGGCCCCCTGGGCTGGAGAACAAACTGCAGGAGCAGACCTTCACATTTAGTCACGGTTACAGCCCCTGGGGGTGGGGGGGAGGCGCACTCCTGTGCGACGGGGGAGGGGAGACGTTCATTCACAGAGAAACCCCTGGGACTTGTAACCCGATGAAGCATGATTTCAAATATTTCTTACTGAAAATGCTGTAAAATAAAGAATGTTAATCAACACCAGCCCTGAGATTTTTTTTGTCTTTCTGGACATAAAGGAGCTTCAAAGCCTCAAATTCCAGAACTGGGTGTTCCACAGAATTGGCCTCGCCGATGTCACTTTCCTGCTGCTCTCCCCTCGCTGCTCCACTCCTGCCACACAAACTCCTCTGCCTCAGGGCCTTTGCACGTGCTGTCCCGCTGCCTACAGCACTCTGCTCCTGCACAAATGCTTGCTTCCTCACTTCACGCAGCTCTCAAATGTGTCCGCAGAGAAGCTCCCCTGACCAGCTGGTCTAAAATATCGGCCTCATTACTCTCCACCTTCTTATGCTCCTATATTTTTCTTAGTATTTAGTTAGGACATTGTATTATGTATTTTCGTATCTGTTAAATGTCTCTCTCTCTCTAAAATATAAACTTATGAGAATATAAACTTCATTTTGTTCAGTGCTGTAACTCCAGTGCCTAGAACAGTTTCTGATACATAGTAGGTACTCAGTAAATATTTGGTAAATGAATCTATACCAGAGTCAATGAGAAAGCAATCACCCCCCTCCAATCTGAGGTCTGTTTGGTTCTTTTGTTTGCTCACTCTTCTTCCATTTATTCACTGAAAAATGTTTGTTTACCATGTGCTCATTCCCCGTCCCCGCGCATATAAAATTTGCATTCTAGTTGAGGAGTCAGGCAGTAGACAGGTAAATAAATAAATAAAATGTCTCTAGGTCATGGTCCAGGCTAAGCAGAAAATGAAACTGGCCAATATGACAAACTGGCTCAGAGGCTACTTTAGCCAGAGCAATAAGGGAGGACTTCTCTGAGGAGGCGGCACTGGACTGAGACCAGAAGGAGTCAGCCATGCGCTCGTGGTGGTGTGGGAAGGCGGGGGTTGGCAAGGGTGATACAGGGTCATCGGAAATATACCAGGGACTCACGTCTGGAATATACGAGGAAGAAGAGAGAGCCAAAAACAAAACAAGACACCTGCTTTAGTTACCTGTGGTTACTTAACCAATCGCCCCACAGAATCAGGGCTTTGAAACACAACAATTTGTTGCCTCGCGTCTCTGCATTTGGAGAGAGTTCTTTGGGACAGTTTCGTCTCTGCTCTGCATGCTGTGGTCAGGGCCACTTGGCTGGGAGTTGGGCTGGAGCTGGGATGTCCGCCAGGGCCGTGGTCCCTCCAGGGTCCTGCGGCTTCTCCAGGAATCTCGCCTGGGCCTCTTTACATGACAGTAGGCTTCCAGGAAGGCAAAAGCAGAAGCTACAAGGCTCCTTGAGGCCTGGACTTGGGAGTCCAAGAACATCAATTCTTATGTATTCCATTGGTCAAAGCAGGTCACAGGTTGTCCTGGTTCAAGGGCAGGAAGTAGACTCCATTCGTTGCTGGGAGGAGTAGCTACCACGTACAGGGGCGAGGATGGTTAGCCGCCTTTGGGAGCCTTTTATCATCACACCAGGGAGAAAACTGAGTGCAATATCAATGTGCTATTCTGAAAAGGGATATCTAAGTGGCCAGCAGGTTAATAAAGAAATGCTCAAACCCACTTGTAATCAGATAAATACAAGTTAAACCAGCCAGACTGGCAAAAACTAAAAAAGTGGACAATAAGCAGGGGTGAAATGAGAGGCAACAGAAACACTTGTGCTCTGCTGGTGGGACATTAAACTGCTCCTGTCAGTCGGGCCAGCAGCTGGGGGACTGGTGTCTGCCTTCCCTGTGCCCCGCTGCCCTGCTCCTGGGTTCACAGCCCAGCGAAATGGGTCCATGAGGAGATGATGTAGGAGGATATCTGTGCCATTGTTGTTTTAGGGACCAACGAGCTGGAGACCATCTAGGTGACCATCACTGGTGGGGCTATTTAAATATGGAGGAAGCACGCTGTGAAAAACACAGCAACACAGAAGTGATGAACAACAGGTACAGAAAGGGGTCAGAGAGACACATGTTCCAGGGCACACGGGGCAGGGGCGGGGGCAGAAGTAGCTTGGCAGTTGTTTGCATGGGAAATAATATGATAATTAATGCATGATAATGCAAGAATAAACTCTGTGTTTCACGTACTTACAACTGTCAACCCACTTCTGCCCCGAATCAAAAAAATTTATGTAGAGCCAGTGGGCAGAGAAATGGAAGTGCTGATGATAAATGGAAAAAATGAATATGAGTCATGGAATGAAGAGTTCTGTGAGCCACACTGGACTCTTGGCTCCACCCCTAACACACTTAGGACCTGAAGCAGGTCCTTGATTGTTTTGGACTTTGGTTTCTGCACCTGAGAAGTGAGAGTGTGTAGTCAGGGTCTCAAAAAGAACTAACAAGCACATGAAACAGCTAACTTAAGGACAGTTTAGCTACAAGGTCTAGTTACAAGGTGTGGACAGAGGGTAGGGACGCCACAAGGGAAAGCGCAGGCCCTGGAGGCGGGAGGGAGGGCTAGTCGTGAAGAAGTACCTCCAGCCTGGGGTCTGGAAGAAGGAGGGGCCTACGAGGAGCTGGCATCTTCAGTCCTGGGGCACATCCACTCTTGATGACTCCCCAGGAAAGAGATGCCTGGATCGTTCTCTCCTCCCTTACTCTGCTTTTCTGCTGGGGCTCCCCACTGGCCAAACCCAACTGTGCTGGTCAGAGTTCCCCAGAGAAACAGAACCAACAGGATGTGTGTGTAGGTATGGATACCCAGGAGAGTGTTCAAAAGCAGCCTGCTGGCAGAATTCCCTCTCGCTCAGGGGAAGGCAGTCTTTTGGTCGATGCAGGCCTTTGCCTGATTAGATGAGGCCCACCATATTGTGGAGCGCAATCTGCTTTACTTACACTCCATTGATTGAAATGTAAATCTCATCCAAAAACACTCTCACAGAAACATCCAGAGTCATGTTTGACCAAATATCAGATACACAAAATTAACCATCACATCAACAGAAGCTAAAATGCAAGGGAATCCTTTGCTGCAGCCTATCCAGGTCCACCTCTGGCAGCACAAGGCCGGGAAGAGAGAGGGATGACTGGGTCTGGAGGGGCCGACTGAGAGAGCGTGGCATGGAGTTGAGACCCTATCAGAACTTGAAAAGTAGTGGTCCCCAGGGCTACCTCCAGCCCACGGTCAGGTTCCCCTCTCCCTCACCTTCCATGAGTCTTAAACTATTCATTTATTGCTAATATTTTAAGTTTAGGAGGTTTCACATTAAAACCTGAATTTATGTTTCTCTTGGAAAAGAAAATACCAGAAGATCTGGCAATATAGGACCTCTGACAACAATTGTTTGGAGGGAGAACTTCTTGTTTGCCACAGTTCCCACCACTCCTTCATGTCTTACACTGGTTCTCTTCCTTTGACTCGGTCACCTTTCTGGCTTCTGAAGGCATTGAATCTATGACTCCTAAGCAACATGATCTGGGAGGTCTGTTTCAGCTCTAGTGGTCACAGGTTCTCATTTCTGTGGTGACAGAAATCATCTATATCTGCCTTGTACAATACAGTAGCCACTTGAAGCTGCAATGTGTTTAGCTGGAATTCAGATGGGCGGTAAGTATAAAACATACACCAGATTATAATAACTGAGTACAAAAAAAGGGGAATGTAAACTATCCCATTAATCATTTTTATATTGATTGCATGTTTAAAGGGTGCTATTTTGGATATATTAGGTTGAGTAAAGTATTTTATCACAATTAATTTCACTTTTTAGGTGGTTGCTACAAAAACTTAAATTATATATATGGCTCCCATTCTGTTTCTAGTAGACAGCACTGTCTACATGGGAAGATTTTAGCCGCCTCTCCATATTCTCAAACCAACTGTATGGTAGTGATGTTCTATACCTGCAGGCTGTAAAATTCAGTGACTCCAATACTATATGGACCTCTGATTCTGATTCTAGATCTGAGAGTTTACCACTTCCTCTTCCTGCCCTGTCTTATGGCTCTGAATCTACCCAGAACTTCCCCTCAACAAAGCTGATTCTATTTTGGTGATTCAAAAGCCCTTTCCGGATGTTGTGGGCCTCCGAGTCAAACCAGCCTTATATAGGCAAAAGTGACCGCCTATCTGTGCTGAGAAAAGTCAAAGATATCTTCTGCCTCTTTCCTCCCTATGCCCCCAATCTCTTCTCAATCTTACACACCCACCCAAGGCCTTTGGGAAATGACCCACGTGGGCCTTAACCAGTCGACTCCCTGGCGCCTGTGCAGAAACTGAGCAAATGCTGGTGCCTTCCAAGACAGCTCCTCTCTGACCAGCATAATGCCCTGATGTTTCCCGTGTGGCCGGGACATCACAGAGGCCTGTACAAGCAGGGCTGAGCTGCCTGGGCCACACTCAGACACAACCATCAGCCTGGGTGAGAGGGAGCAGGCAGGAGCTTTTATCTACCATTTACCAGGCACTCAGATACACTGTTTCGTGGAATCCTTAAGCCACCCCAATAAGGGGGTTCTAGTATTCTCATTATAGCAGAGTCCATGCAAGTTCAGAGAGGGAGGGTGTGTCGCCCAAGATCATACAGCGCACACAGTATGTGGACAATCTGGCAACACTGAGCCTCGTTTTCAAGGGGCTTCCCACTTCGGTGGGAGCAGGTCAGAAGACACCTGCCCTTTGCGAAGGCGTCTGCGCGTGGCGGGGCACTGCTGTTCCTTCGGGACCGCCCTGCTCCTGACCTTGGCTGGCCGGCCCCATGGGCATGTGTGGCTGCTGCTGTTGCTGCACTGGGTGCACTGGGTGCCTTCTCGGCACAGCTGGTCCTGGCCTGCCTTCCTGGAGGGGCTTGTGAGCTGGGCAGGGGATGAGGCTCTCTGAGGGCCACAAGTGTCTCATTCAACTGTGTCACTTCTCCTATCTGGGTCATAGGACATCCTCCTCCAGGCCTGAGCCAGTGACCCAGGCAACACACCCTTATAAGGGAAAATGACAAGGGGTCGGGAATGCCACTGAAGGGTCAACCCTAACTGGCCCATTCTGCAGGGTGGGGACCTTCCGGAGGAGGCCGCCCCACAGGCCATGACAGGGCACAGAGATGCTGGCAGAGAACAGCTGGAAGTGTACCTGCAAGGCAACAACGGCAGCCCAGCACATACAGGGAACGCACATTTATTGAGCACCTACTGTTTGCAGTGCCAGACACACCACAAGGTCCTCATGAGTCCTGTGACCCCCCTGCACACCGGTCGAGAACAGGGCCTGAGCGGCTGACTGTGGAGCAGGACTGTTGGGCGTAAATCGTGGCTCTGCCTCTCACTAGCTGAGCAGCTTGGTTAAGGGACTTAGCTCTCTGGGTCTCCATTTTCTGAAATGAAGAATGGAAATCATAACAGTCCCCACCACAACGGGTTGTTGGAGGTAAGGATTCATGAGTTCGAATAGAAACTATTTAGAAGTGTGTCTCTTGCGAAGCAAGTGCTCAACAGAGGTTCACTGTTACCATGATTACTCTCTTTTAAGAGGAGGAAAGTGAGACTGAGGGAGATGAGGTCGCCTGCTCTAGGCCACACGGCTGGGGAGGGACAGAGCTGTGCTTTGAAGCCAAGTCCCCGTCAGGCTGAAGGCAGGAAGAGAGCTGGGGAGAAAGACCAGAGCCACTGATGGGTGGAGAAGAGCCTCAGCAGAAGTCCAGGGGTCTCCTGTGGGTCCCCACCCCCTGAGAGTTGGGGCACATAACTATGGACAGGGAGGGAAGGAGGAAGCTGAGCAGAGTTCTAGTCCCGGCACTACCGCTGGTGAGCTGAACAGCTTCCCTGAGCCTCAGTTTCTTCCTCTGGGAAATGGGACTAATGCCACCTTCCTGTTATCAGGACTAGAGATGTGGCTTGCAAAGGGCTCTTCCTCTTCCTCCCCTCCCACACCTTCTCCCCACGCCTGCCGGACCCAAGAGGAGGAGGCAGCTTGGCCAGCCCCTGGGAGGTGGGCCCTGCTGGGACGAGGAGACGGCGAGGACTTAATTAAGGGCAGAAAAGCAGAAGTGACAGGATCTCCCAAGTGCTGGAGGACTCAGTTCCTCCCACTTCCTCTCTACCTGTCGCGCCGCCTAAGGCTGCCTGGCTGGCTCCGCTGCTGTTTGGGAGGCATGAGGACTCTCTGGAGGACAGCCGAGCACCTCGTCAGGACGGGGTAGGTGTGGGACCTCGGACATGGGGGCCTCGGACAGGAGAACAGTCAGCGGTCAGGCGTCTGGGAATGAATCTAGGTCTCAGCTCTGCCGTTCCCTGGCAGCGTGACGTGGGGTACCTCCTCACCTCCTTGAGCCTCCGTCTCCCCATCTGGGAAGTGAGAGTGATAATAATGTCCACAAGACTGTTGTGAGAATTGAAGGAGAAAAGGCACCCAAAAGGCTTGCTATTGTGCTCGGCTCAGAGGAGGCACTCAGTAAATGGCAGCTACAAGCCTTATTGCCAACGCTGAACACAAGCCTTGGCACCTAATATGACTGAGAACTGGTTTTCTTTTCCAATAATGTTTATAGTGGCTACTACACTCACAGATACCAGGTTTCCAGCACTAACTATAAGCAGTGGGGGTCTAGTCCCAAATTAAAATGCCTTCAGGGGCCGGGAAGGCCCTAATTATGATCTCTAACCTCACATGAGCTGTCCATGCCACCTGGTATGTATCATTTCCCTAATTTATTTCCTTTCCCACTTTCCTGGACAACTACGTTGTATCTCCTCCTTTATCTTCATGCTGTCTCCGCCTGCTCCAGCATCCGCACCGTCGGTGCTGAACTCGCCTCCTGCTACCCTGAGCAATCAGAAGCAAACACACCACAGTCAACAAATATTTATGGAGCACCCACTACATGCCAAACACTGTTCTAAGCACTTGGGACATATCAGTGATCAAAAGAGACTAAGTCCCTGCCTGGTGGGTGCTTTAGTAACAGATAATAGCTGAATGATATAATTTTAAAGACACAAAATAATTCTAGGAGATACTACTTTTATTGCACCATTTTACGGATGAGAACACTGAGGCACAGAGAGGTTATGAAACCTGGCCAAGATCACAGAGATGGTGAGTGGTTAAGTGGGGATTTGAACCCAGGCAGCCCGGAAGCATGCCTTTAACCGTTGCTGTGTTCTGTGTATATCAGAGGATACTGATCTACAATTGCCCACACTTTGTCCACTCACCATCATCTGTACCCATTTCCTCTGCTTTCCCACCTGTTATTAAGAGTGAATGGCCCCTGCTACTTTGTAAGACCAATCCCACGTCTTCTGTTCTTGGTCTGACCTCTGTCACCCACGAGTACGTCACTGCAGGGAGCCTCCCCTTCATCAGTGTCCCTCCTCTTGCTTGGATCTCCCATCTACAAACCTGCCAGAATGTCTTCTATCTTAAATGAACTCTCTTGGTAAGTTTGCCCATCAGCTACTGCATTTTCTTGACCTACCAGCATCACCTGACATTGGTGATGACTTCCATTTTTTTAAACATTTTATTTACTTGGCTGTTCAAAGACCATGTGGCCTGGTTTCTCTGTCTCCTTCTCTCATTCCTTTCATCTCCCACACTGTTAACCCTGGAGTGCAAGGGCTCAGTCCCTGGATCTCTCTCCTCTTCAACACACGTCTTAAAGAATCTCATCTTGCCCCATTACTTTAAATACCATCAATAAATCAACGATGCCCAACAGTGTATCTCTAGCCTGCTCTCTCTGAATTTCCAACCACATACTCAACAGCTCCGTTGAATGGCTAAACTGGCAGCTCAAATTTAAGACTTTCAACTGGATTCCCCCTTTTCCCACTCCACTCAAATTTGCTTTAACCGATTTTTCTCTCAGGAAATGACGCCCTGATGCCTCCAGTTGCTCAGGCCACCAAATCTCTTGGTCATCTTTCTCTTACACCCACAGCTAATCAGTCTGTTGATCTTTGGGCTCTTCCTACAACATGTATCTGGAATACAATCTCTTCTTACAATTCCTCTGCTGTCACTTGTAGAAGGTCTGGAAGGGCAAGGATTCTTGTCTATTCATTCATTCTGGTTTCTCCAATGGCTGGCATATAGTAGTTGCTTAATAAATATTTGTTGAATAAATAAATATAAGGAAAATAAAGTAGAAAAGTTCCTCAGAGGTAAACTGGTCCACTCTCCCCTTCCCTTCACCCCCCCAAATTGTAGAGGAGACATTTAAGTCCACACAGAAGGAATATTCAGTGCCACACAGAGTCAACAGTGAAACAGGATCTTTAGTTCTCGCTTTCATCCTCTCCATTTCATTTGTGCTTCTCTTCTCATGACTCTTCCATTCCCTTGGGAGAGTTGTCCTCACAAAATTGGAATTATGGACACAAACAGCTCAGCCATTCATCCTCACACCTTTGGGAACTGTGTGGAAACTGGGGAAACGGTGTCACTCTTCCCTGACAACTCCAGTGAGAATAATCCTGGGGAAGGCTCTGATTGGTTCAGCCTGGGTCATGTGGGTTTGGGGTGGGTTACTCTTATTGGCCCACCTGGGAAGAGTGCCCACTCCTGTGGCTAATGGGATGGAACCTGCTAGCTGATGAGGGGTTTGTGGGACAGAGACATTGATCAGACACCAAACTCCTCACTCTCCTGTTTAAGGTTCTCCAATTTTCTTGTGTGCAGGTGCAGATTCTGGCACTTGGGGCTCTGCAAAGCTCTTGTCCCACTGCAGGCTGCCTGGGTTGCCTTCTCTCAGCCCGTTCCAACCAGCCGTGGCCAGCTGTTGACCCAGCTCCTCCTGTGTGGTTCCCTGGCTGCCGCTGCTGTAGGTCTAGCCCACCAATGGCTGACGTCCTCGCTGCTTTATCCTCTGGGGCCTTCGGCCATAGTGGCCACTGTCTGTGGCCTCCTGGTCTTCCTGGGCCTGGGCCTGGTGCCTCCAGCTCGTTGCCTGTTTGCAGTCAGCGTGCCCACCCTGGGCACAGAGCAGGGCCGTCGCCTGCTCCTGTCCTGGAGTACTGCCACCCTGGCTGTCACTGTGGTGCCCAATGTCTTGGCCAATGTGGGCGCAGTGGGACAGGTGCTGAGGTGTGTCACTGAGGGCTCCCTGGAGAGTCTGCTCAACACCACACACCAGCTGCACACAGCATCCAGGACTCTGGGTCCCACTGGCCAAGGCCTGACACTCCAGGCCCAGGGCAATGGCTCCGTCTTCCGGCTTCACATGCTCCAGGTCACTCAGCAGGTCCTGGAGGACTTCTCTGGCCTGGAGTCTCTGGCCCGGGCAGCAGCTCTGGGGACCCAGCGGGTGGTCACAGGGCTCTTTATGCTCGGCCTCCTGGTGGACTCAGCCCGGTACCTCCATTGCTACCTGACTGACCTGCGGTTTGACAATATCTATGCTACAGAGCAGTTGGCTCAGCGGCTGGAAGAGGCCCAGGCCGCACACCTGTTGGTGTCCCCACCAGCCTGGCTGCTGCGGGCCACTTGGCCACGGCTGTCCCAGAGGGAGCTGCTGAGCTGTTTACTAAGGCTGGGGCCACTCACCCTGCTCCTGATGGCCACAGCTGTGACAGTGGCCACAGATCACATAGCCTTCCTCCTGGCACGGGCCACCGTGGACTGGGCTCAGAAGCTGCCTGCTGTGCCCATTACACTCATGGTCAAGTATGATGTAAGTGTGGTGATGGGAAGGCAGGTATACAGTCATTTCCTTGAGGGAAGGGGTAGAATTTGTCAAATCCTTAGCTTGCGATTGAATTTTACTTACCTCTAAGTCATAGCCCTGGGATGGGCCATGAGAACCTGGGGCACCCGTAGATGAACTTAATTCCCACTACAACCCAATACAGTGGGTTCGGGTTTGACCCCCTACTGCAGATAAAAATGCTGATACCGAGAGATCTTAAAATAATTTCCCCCCAAAGTGGCAGCGTGTCCTAGCCCCCCCTTTCTCACCTGTACAGATTGGATCAGCCCTCCTTTCCCTACAAGATTATTGTGAGCTTTAAAATGTGATAGTCTCTAGAAGTACCTAGTAAGCACCATGACCCATAGAAGATGTTTATTAAATACTGGCCCTTATTAATAGCTCACATCTGTGAATATCAGACTGAAGGAAGGCTCAGGAAAGATCTAGATCAGGAGCCCATCTATAGTCCATGGGCCAAATCTTACCAGCTTCCTACTTTTGTAAACTTAGTTTTATTGAAACACAGCTCTCCAAAGGCAAATTTGAGTTGGGGCAAGAGACTGTAGGGCCAGCAAAGCTGAAAATACTTACTATTTTAATAGTTACATATAAACTTACTACCTATTTACTCTTAGATATTTACTATCTCATCAAGTTCTGTGGTTTTTCTTCGGCTATTTTACTGATGAAGACACCGAGGCTCCGAGAAGTTAGGGAATTTGCCCAGGTTCACCCAACCTGTAAGTGGAAGGACCACGGCTGCTCTGCGGCTCTTGTGGGCCCCAAACAGGCTCACGTTCATGAACGCCTTCCTTCGTAAGATCTTTGTTTTTCATTTGTATGGTGAGATCACCCAGAAAAGTCCATTACATGAAACGTATCAAAGTGTCAGACCCTGAGCTAGTAATACTAATAGCTAACATTTATTGAGTACTTATTTTATGTAAGAAAGTATTTTTTGAACTGCATGAAATGAATTTAATCAATTTCAAGGGTCATGGTCACATTTTTAAAAATAAAATAGAATAGACTAGAAATGTATTTGAGTATGTTATAGGTAATAAGGGTATGTCTTGTTTTATGACATTTTTCTTCCATCACAATACAATTTATGCTCGGAAGGCGCTATAAAATGCTGTGGGTCACAATAAGACAATGTCCTGAGTGTGTTAGCTGATTTACTGTATTTCCTCATCTGTAAGATGCCATTGATTACAAGTCATACCATCAGTTCAGGTACCATTAGGAAAGAAAATGCTTCCAATGAAGCCATGACCCAATGCCTTCTTACCATTTAGAATTTTAATTGTATTCATATAAAATTGTCCCCTTATTTTTAACAGAGATTTATTTTATCATACCTTTTTATGTAGAGAAAACAAGAACAACAGTGAAGTGATTTTTGGCTGTTTTCGTAAAACGGCCTCCCCTTCAAGCCTGACTTTTCTGAATGGCTCTGGCTGAGTCGCGAGCGTTGTTCACCCAGCGCGTTGTCCTCTGTACCTTCGCGAGCACCGGTGAGGCCCCGCCATCGTTTCCAGCATTTTCTTCCAAACTGCAGACAGCCACTCTGCAGCTTTGGTGCTGGCACCCCCTGATCCTCTTAGAGAGCATGACTGCTGAAAGCAACTATGGGTTCTATTGATTGGAAGACCCTCTTGGTCTCAAAGATTTCGAAATGTAGGGGAGGAAAAAAAGGTGAACCCAGAACTGACTAAATAAGATAGCTCATTTAATTGTCACTGTGGCGCTGTCAGATAGGAATTGCTATCACCACCATTTTACCGATGAAGACACCAAGGCTCAGAGGAGTTAGGGGTCTTGCCTGAATTTGCCTGGCATGCACGGGGCAGAACCAGGGCTGCACTGTGACTTTTGGGTGTCCTCAGCACATTCACTTTCATGAACTCCTTCCTCGGTTAAAAATATTAATGACGTCATTGGGATACATACAAATATGTTAATAGTATATCGTGAAACATGTTCTTCAACGTAAAAGTTAATTTTAACTTCTGATTTTAAAAGAGACTGAAATATTTTCATAGGCCCCTAAAAGTACTGTGGGGCCCAGCACTGTGCCAAATAGGGAAAGTGACTCTGGGCAAAGCTCAGATCCAACCCGGGAAGTCTGATTCCCTAGTGCCAAGGGTTATCCTCTGACCTCCCTGTCTCTGTGGACGCCATTCTTCCTCATAGCTCATGGAAATTGTAGGGCCTGATGATTTTGAGAGGATATTAGGACCCACCCTGGCTGGGACTGTCCCCTGGCACGTGAACCGACTGCATGAGCTTGGGGTCCCCATCTTTTAAATGAGACTCAGGCTGGGCTAGACCTCCTAGGCTTGTGCTTACGTGATGGAAAAGACCTCTAGAGTATTTGTCCACTAAGGGCTCAACAGAGAGTTAATGCTCCACCAGCATTAGGTGTTTTTTTTCCCCCTAAATGAGAGTACTAATAAAAATTATTCTTTGAGGAGTGGATTATTTGAAGATAAATTCAAACAATTACTCTTCAAAGAGAGTAATAATAAAATAGCATTTGCACGGCGTTGTCTCTTTAGCAAGAAGCCTGCTTCAGACTCCTGATCTCGTGCAATTCTCCTCACACCCCAGAAGGCAAGGGTGACTTCTGCGTCCACGTTGCAGATAAGGGCAGGGAAAGTTGAACCAGCCCCGCAAGCTGCAAGTGGCAGGGGACAGGGAACGGCTAGAGAGTGTGCTGTTGACGTGGCCTTTTTGTCCTTTTTAAAGGCTGCATACACCGTCCTGGGCTTCATCCCCTTCCTCTTCAACCAGCCGCCTCGAGAGAGCCCCTTCCTCTCAGCCCACAACTCCTTCCAGTGGGAGCTCCGCTTCACCTCGCCCGGCTGCCCCCTGCTGCCCGCCCAGCCCCCGCACACGGCCGCCCCCCTGGCCGCGGGGGTCCTGCAGCTCCTGGCGTGCTCCACGGTCCTGCTGGAGGCCTACGCCCGTAGACTGCGACACACCATCGCAGCTTCCTTCTTCAAGGCCCAGGAGGCAAGAAGGGTCCGCCACCTTCATGCCCGGCTCCAGCGGAGCTACGACAGGAGCCAAGGCCAGCAGCTGCTCCTGTGGACTCCTTCGTGACACCCACATCCGGACCCGCCGGTATGGACAGGTAGGCCTACTGCCTGCTGGACTCTTGGAAGCACAGACAGTCCTGGAGAAGACAGGAAAGATCTTGGGAGTCACACAAACCTAAGCTGTAACCTTAGCCCTTCTGCCGCCTCCCCGTGGGACTTTGGGCAGGTCGCTGCCCTTCCCTGGGCCTCAGTTTCTGCAGCTGCATAATGACAATGACGTGAGCTACTTTCCACTTGGGAATGTGGTGAGGACAGCATGAAAGCCTTCCACCCACAGAGAAGGACTATGCCAAGGGGAAGGCAAGGAAGTGCAGAGACGGCTCAGGCCCCCTGCCCCACCCCTGGCAGGTGGGCGTCCGTCCAGGTTCTCGCCTGCATCAACTGCTTTACCCAGTTGGTGGAGACTTTGCCTCATGAATGTGTCTAAATGCTCCTGGAACTTATTTATATGCCTCTGAATCCTCGGACTTATTGATAGTAATCTAAAATGGTCTTGATTTTATACATAAATGTATTTATTAGATCCTAAATGAGAACTAGGTTACTGCTTTGCTTTAAATTCCTTTAGGGACTTCCCCTTTAGGCCCGTCAGGCTTTGCCAATGAAAATGCAGGCCACCAGGATCAATTTGGATTTTAGGTAAGCAACGAATATCAGTTTAGCATCCTTGGGACACACTGTCATGCTAAACATACTTAGACTGAGCCCATATTGGTTGTTTACCTGAAATTCAAATTGATCTGGTTAACCTGTACTTGAACTGGCAACTCCATGCCCATCAAAGTTATAATACATCACGATTCCCTACTCTGTGGGCTTGATACCTCCTGTTTTTCCCTCCAGATCGTTCTCTGCCATCCTTTCACCTGCTGTCTTTCACAGGGGTCTGGCCTCTGTGAGTCTATGCGTCTTAACACCCTGTTTCCTTTGCCCTCTGACTGTTGGCTGGGCCTAACAAGGCCGTCCAAAGTGGGAAGGGAGGAAGAGGTAAGAACACTGGTTCCTGCACCCCTCTGGGCTGTTATTGGGCAGAGGTCACATTCCATTAATGCAGGAATTAATGGGCTGCTGCTTCATGGCTTCCATGTCAAGAAGAATCTGCCCCACCTAGGCCAGGAGTAGGATGGGCAACGTACTGGACCATCATCCAGTGGCTGATATCGGCATTTGTATAGGTTGGGTACTGCTCAATTGCCCCAGGCGCTGGTTGACAGTCTGAATGGATGGATCCTCTGGAGTTGCTCAGTGCACAGCCTAGGCAAGTATCATGTATATGGCAGATCTTACTGGGAGTAGGGTCATTCCCCAATGTAAAATTGACATGCTCGTCATCAGAAAAAGACAGTAGGGCTGTCAGGAGGAGCGCAACAAAACAAAATACGAAGCCAACAACAGATCCGCCACAGATGAGCTGACCCTGGTCAATTGCAACGGGCGCCTTCTCCCCGGGCGACAGAGTTCCTCCTCCGTAACTAAGTTCATCCCCTGGGCTGCTAATACTGTCACCTATTGGCCGCAGTGGAAACTGCATGATCCAATATCTGCTTTCCGCTTCCTTAGCCTCCCTTCCTCCATCCGCATTTTCTGCTCCCTTCTCTCCTCCCCCTTTTCCTCTCCCTTCCCCTGCCTGCATCCTCTAAACTATCCTAATTCATCATATCTGGGACCAGTCCCTGAGCTCTGTGTGGCCAGTATTGAGCCCTGGAAGGGGGACCCGGAAAGCTAGAGAACTCAGACCCCACCCCCTTCTATGTCGCTTTCCCTGTTTTCCTCCTCATTCTTGCAGTATTCCCCCCTCTTTTTTTTTTATCCTCACCTGAGAACATGCTTATTGATTTTGGAGAGAGAGGAAGGGAGAGAGAGAGAGAAGAAGAGAAACATCGGTGTGAGAGAGAAACATCAATCAGTTGCCTCTCATTCATGCCCTGACTGGGACCGAACCCACAACCTAGGTATGTGCTGGGACTGTGAATTGAACCTGTGACCTTCCAGTTTACAGGACAATGCTTCCACCAATGGGGGAACTCAAGAGTGGGAAATTTTTAGTTTAAGGTAATCGTTAATAGGCCTAGTAGTTAATGCACGTGAGAAACTGTTGTTTCAGGAACTGCAGGTGTGGCCCATCCTGACTCCAGCAGACCATGGGAATTAACCTCTGTGCTCCACAAGAGACCAGAAGCAGTCAAGGCGGCATCTGAGCCACTGTGTTCCAGGGATAGACAGACGACTCCCTGCGGCACCGCTAACCACCCGGGGCCAGAATGCTGCAGTTTTTTTTTTTTTTAAATCTAATTTTCCCTGAATTCCAACCTCCTCACCACACTCTGTTCTCTGTTATAAAAAGGCCGGCTTGGAAGGAAATGTAAGATGGTCTGTTAGGGTACAAGCCCGCCACCTTCTCAGATAGCCAGCCCTCTGAATAGAGCGCCAGTAATGATTCAATCCCTGTCTCTGCTTATTGGGTCTAGTGGGTGACAGGCAGCCTGAATGCCAGCTTTTCTGGTTTCACAACCAACTGAGCCACACCAACCTTAAAAATGATTCTTTCTGCAAACCTTTATCGGAGCACCACCTATATGCTGGAATCAGCCTGAGATCCCTAACTTGGCTGCAGATCCAGTGCATGGATTTCTACCCTTCTAAGACCTGCTCATGTCATGTTTCCAAATAACTCTGAAGAGAGATGTCCACACACATATAAAAGTAAACATGCGGCCATAATTAATTTTATTCTGATAGAGTCATCAGGAAAGTGGTTTGACGGTGTCACGTTCTCCTAAAAGGTGCTGCAGTTTTAATGTGACCTTATTTGAAATTAGGGTCTTTGCAGATGACCAAGTTAAGATAAGGTCACGTGGGTGGGCCTTCAACTAATACAACTGTGTCCTTACAAGCAAAGGAGGTGGAGGAATTTGGACACAGAGACAGACGCACACAAAAGGAGGACATTGGGAAGACACAGGAGGAAAGCCATTTACAAGCCAAGGAACTCCTCAGTCTCCAAGAAGCTAGAAGAGAGGCTTGGAACAGACTTCCTTGGTAGCCCTCAGAAAGAACCAACCTTTCTGACAGCTGGACTTCAGACTTCCAGCCTCTAAAACTGTGAGACAATACATTTCTCTTGTGTAATCCACTCAGCATGTGGTACCTTCTTACTTCAGCCCTAGCAAATGAACACAGATGGCAAAATGGCAGGAGGAATGATTTGAGGACAGAAATTATTTAAACACTAAGAAAATGTTTTAAAAGGAAAATGTGTAACGTCAAAAATAAAATTTACTGGCTTGGCCTATGTGGCTCAGTTGGTTGGTGCATCATCACTTAAACCCAAAGGTCGCCGGTTCAGTTCCCGGTCAGGGAAATGCCTGGGTTACAGGTTTGGTCCCAGCTGGGGCACATTCAACAGGCAACTGATTGATGTTTTTCTTTCAAATCAATGTTTCTCTCCATCTTTCTCCCCCTCCCTTCCTCTCTCTCTAAAATCAATAGGCATGTTCCTGGATGAAGATAAGAAATAAAATAAAATAAAATTTACCTATAAATCTGTACCTATAAGTGATATTTAATATTTTTGGTTTCCATCTTTTCTTCAGTGCTTACCTCAATGAGGCTCTCTGTGTGTGTATTCTAATCCCTCTCTTCACAGAGTCACATTTGAAATTCAATTAATGGATGTAGAATGCCTTTATAGTCCTCTTCATTTTGTATATCTTTCATACACAAAATGGAAAAACCATGCATTTTCCTTCTTTATAGAAAAAATCATTTAGATGCACAAGTGTAAGTGCCTCTTCCTCCTAAATAATTTGGGTGCACATGCTTCTAAATTTTATCTAAATTTATATAGTCATATGTATTTAAATGTGCATATCTTTACTTAATCATGTATATATAAAAGATAGAATGATGCTTTATATAGCTGTTTGCCTTTCATTATTTCATTTAGGATTATATCATGGGTATATTTATTACAACATATAAATAACCTTATTCTTTCTTAGTACTTGCACTACATCCCATTGTATGTATGCACTATAATTTATCTAGTTATTCCTAACCAATGTAAATTCAGGCTGTTTCTTTTTTTCTGTTATTAACTGTGCTTCAATGAACATCCTTATAAAAGGAATCTATGTAAATGTAACCTGTATGCTGAAAAGCACATCTTGAGAAATAATGTTTTAATGTACTCTTCCACTACTCTTTAAATTTCTTTCAAAAGAAGCTCTCACTGAATAAAAATCTCAGCAGAATCCACAGTTTTTAAAAGGAAAATACTCTTAGGTAATAGGCAGAATAACAATCAATTACTACAATATATTAGGTAAGTAGAATGCAAAGACCTAGATATTAACTCTTTATTCTTCATTCAAAGCGAATGAATGATGATAATGTCAGTTCTATAATCTTCTCTTCAGATCTTCATTCTCTTCCTTTTCTGGTTGAAAAAGAAATGCTATCATGTTATGTAAAAATGCATTAAGTTCCTGGGTTATAGAATATGTGTGCTATGCACATATATTTATATAAACATCCTGCCTAAAAGCAGAGCTGGAACAAGAATTTGGGTGCAGGTAGTTTATTTGGGAGGTGATTTCAGGAAGTAGGACTGAAGAAGTGGAGAGAATGAGATAAAGGAGAGAAGTGAGCCTAAGAGAGTGTCATTAACACTACTGATATAAATGATGGGGATTTGATTGTGTCAGGACCTCTGAAAAGCACATAGAATATTCCCAGTATAACTCTCCTGCGGGCCTGGAGGCTAGGACATTTGTTTATCACCATTTGTTTATCCTGGTGGAACTATCCACCATTACCGCCCAGATCCATGATCTCTACCTCAACAGAGTTTAAGGCTGTGGAAAAGCAAAACACAAGTTCTGTAAATGGGAGTGACAGTGAGAGAGCACAATCCTACTGTCATCTCTTCATTGGCTCGATACTGGGTCAAGGCATATGCCCCATCCTGGCAGCTGGCACCCAAAACCCTCAGGGAATTTTTTC